AAGACTCACTAAGAGGAAAGTGATTTGTACTTGCTTTCCCAGCATGAGTGAAAGAATAAAGAGGCCAGGGAATTCAATCAAGGACTGTGGTAAGAGAGGTCTGGATAGAACACAAAGCCATCAACATGGCTAAAGCAGAAGCAAAGTGATTTAAACTGGCTCCATTTTCATCTAGTTTATACAGAAATTCAAGCAGCTTAAGGCTGCAATGCAGAGAAATTTATAGAGGATGATCTTGCGGTAAACTAATTTTAGCTGTGTTTCCTTTTCCTTATTTCATGCCTTTAATACCTTTGGCTCATTATTTCTTACTTGTTTTCTGTACTCTGCACTAAAAGGAAATAATATGTATGATGAGTACATATGTATGTAAGTATTGCAAAAGAAACAGCATTGAGATGTAGACATTACCTCTCCTCTTAATGGAGCAGGATTCAGTTACCTCACTTACATAAAGGGGAAAAATAAGACAATTTAAAAACTAGAACAAAAAATCCCATGTAGATAAAATACTCTGAAATACACATAGGAAATACCATATTATACACATCAGTTCAGTTGAAATCAGTGGGTTATACTTTCTCATAAGTGTATTTAACAATATAGTTTAATTCTATAAATCTGCTATTTGAAACAAATAATTTAAATGAAAGTTTTTGAGAATGTATTAATCCACTAACAGTTATGTAAGGTGTAATTAATCCTGTTGGTGTATTTTTGCTTGCTTCCTTTGAGAACATCCACCTTAATGTTGACTTTTATGCTTTTTATTTTCCAAAACCAATAAAATCAAAATATCTGTCAAATCATTACTTTGGCATTTCTTGTGGCAATGAGGATCATGCATAATCCCATTGTTAACATAGACAAAGACAAATCTAAACCTCTCATTTCAGAACTTCTAATAGATTACACCTGCTACAATACTTTTTAATGCCCTTACCACTATCACACACAAACCAAATTAGGCCATATGAAAATTGCTAGGGAACATGTTTTGTTCTGTATATCGAAGAGTATAGTTAACTGTTGTTTTAATAATAATTTTTTTCAACGACAATATGAAATTATGTAAGTCACGGACTTCAGACCAGAGTATTAAGAAGAGAACCGTTAATTTTTTCTTCTTTTAGAAAAATAGTAAGAATTCTTATTAATAGTTGAAATTCACAAGCTCTAAATCAGGAAATTGTTAATCCAACCACAATCCTTGACTGAATTTCTGTGCTTCTTTATCCCTCCTGCTTATATTGGGAAAACGAGTACAAATCACTTTCCTTTTGGCAAGTCTTTGGGGACGTGTGGTTTCATTTATAGACCTTTTGCATGACGTCATCTTTGTTGACTCCTTAACTTTTGGTCAAAATGATTTTTATCTAAGTTGCCAGAAAAATAGATAAAACGGATGTTCTTAATTGTCCAACAATCTGAGTTTGGGTCACCTGCATGGAACCCGTGGTCTGACAAGTAGTATAGTCAATTCTAATCATGAAGCCACTAGGAGTTGAGCTTAACTTGAAAGTTCCACTTTACTTTGTTACTTTTATTCAGCTATCATGCTCAACCGTAATCAACATCTAAAAACTATGTCTCAGATTGCTCTACAGTGGTTATATAATAGGGAAAAAACATGTTTTCTGCTGCTCAGTATTAGCAATCTGATCTAAGCAGGTATTTCACAGTCATAATCAGAAGATGTAAAAACAAGATGTCTTGCAAAAGCTTAAATAAAAGGAAATAGATCTATAAGTATTTTTTTTACCCAATTGCTCTCAAACCAAGGAAATAAGTACAAAATATCTGTCACAATTTTCAAACTAAAAGCTTAATGCCATCAGTTTATCCTTTATATGGGACATTAATTTCTATCCTATTGTACAGTACAAGTTGTATACAACTTGCCATTTATGGTCAACTGGAATATCAATTGTAATGCTACAATTGACAAGAGATCCTCTTTTTATGTCATTGATTAACAATAGAACGTACTTTTTCTTGATCCTAAGCAATATCAGCTGTTTTTCTGTTCCATTCACTGTTCAAAATACCAGACTGCACAATTATTGTATTCATATTAAACTAATAAATTGCATGTTTTTCTGATGACTGAAATGCATTAACTTTGTTTAAAAAAAATGAAAACATACAGAAAAACAGAAAAGAACTATTTGGGTTTTAAATGGTTGTTTCTGAAAACATGTTATTACAAGTAGTATTCAGTTAATGATTCAACAACTGTTAAAACTTGTAATAGAGCTGAATGAGTGGCATCAACAAGCAGTCATCAGAGTTCTGGCCATCAGTATCCTGTGATCATGTGACTGCCATTTGTGACATTTGCAGACTTCCAACAAGCAGTCAATGGGAAAGCTGGCAGGAAATTACAAATAATGACCTGTGACATCTTCGGTTAACAATCCACGGAGATTCACTCAATCATCTCAATTGGGAATTGCCAAGGCTAAGAAGCATGTTCATGTGACATTTGCTTTAGAACCCAATTACTTAGTGGTGACTATTCTGGTCCCAACTACTGTTATTAACTGACTTTAACTGTTTAAATCATAATTAAAATCAAATTATTGATTTATGAATACCACTGAATATAAAGATTTTTCCTTGTCAGAGTTAGGCAATCACAAATCCCATATTGCACGTCCAGAAAACGTATAACCAAATTTGACAAAAAACCCCACAAAGATCCAATGGTTCAGCAGTATTTAGTCTTAGTAAGCCAAGTCCTTCTACAGTTACATCACTGCTGCATCACAGCAATCCCTAATGCTGAAAATAAAAAAATAAGAGTAATCCCCTACCATCACAAGATTACCTAATGTGAAGATAATCCTCTTGAAGTCCCTTATTTATAGATTAGTTCAATATATTTGGTTGAAAGAAAATCTAATGTATTTCATTGAAACTTATCTTCTTTCACATATGCAGCATTGCATCCCTGAGTAACAGGTAATAATATACATATTTCTAGTAATCTTTGATTATACCTTTAATAAACTGATTTTGAAATTGCAACATAAAATCTTATTTAAAGTTCAACCAGGAAAATATGAGTAGAAGCCATCTACCCATTTTTGCAAGTCAATATTCTGATTTCTACTCCACAGTACTCAGATGAGATCTTTGTTGATTAGGTCTTGATACATTTTTGTTGCCATCTGGTTAATCAAATAATTTGTTTGCAGTGTGCCAGATGGTAAGATCATAACCAATGTAGTCAATCTAAGCACATTCAGTAACAAGTCACAACATTAACCCATATTTCATAATCAGTGGAGGATGGAGCCAAGCTGGCAAGACTAAGCATGTGAAAAGACTTGGTACTTGCTTTGATATATATTTTACTGCACAGTTTAATTGGCCACATGTAATATTTGTGAGTTATCATTTCAGAATTCTAATTCAAGCCACCTTAAAATAATTTGATATTGTTTATTTTTTAAAACAGTGCTTTCCAAACCTGGGTAACTCCATTACCCAATCACAACATGAACATTTAAATTGACTTAGAAGTATTTTATCCTGTGGAGTAAAAAGGCCTTTCTGATAAGTGGTTTGGAGTAATGAAAGAAAAAAAATCGGAACACTATTCTAAAACACATCCCCAAGTATTTTTGTTAATTGCAGAAGATGGCATTTTGGTAAAACGAAATCATTGCTTGGTGGTAAACAACCCTTTTAACTTCCTTAGTTTTGTTTTGCGTGTTTGCGTTTGTGTGTGTGTGTTTGTCTGAAAAGAATTTAAAGATGGCAATACTAATTTTAGTACTATGTCTATACTGTTGTTTCTGGAATCTTAAACACTTTATTACTATTTTATACACATACATATACGAGGCAGAACCACAATTTTATATTTATTGTATATTATTTAATAAATAAACATGTTCTTTTCCAAATACACTGGCAATTTCTGAGTTGCATAAATAGTAGGTGCTTACTGTGCTTTCAATTTAAAGTATTTTAATTCATTTGTGCAATTATGTCCAAGCAGAAATGGAGTGTTACTTTACTGTACTTTAAGAACACTTCTGTGGAGCCAGTGAAGGAGGAAGCGTAAACTACAAGAAGGAAGCAGAGTGGGGAGTAGAAATAAACAACCCAACCCAATGATTTTTTTAAAAAAACAAATTCAATTGATTTGAATAGAATTCTTATCAGGTCACAAAAGGTGATCACATGACTTTGGGACACAGCAACTGTCATACAGTGCATTCAGAAAGTATTCAGACCTGCTTCACTTTTGTCAATTTTTTTATGCCAATGTGATATTTCATTTTTTTCTTTTTAATAAATGTACATACATTTCTAAAATTCTGTTTGTCATTATGGGGTACTGAGTGTAGATTAAGGATCAAAAAAAGAATTTCAACAACTGTAGAATCAGGCTGCAGCATAACAAAATTGACAAAAGTGAAGGGGGTCTGAATACTTTCTGAATGGACTGTAAATACTCCCAAGAGGCCAAATTTTGATCACATGACCATGGGGATGCTACAAAGGTCATACAAATGGAAAAATCCTAAGTCACTTTTTCAGTGCTGTTGTTAAGTTCGAATGGTCATTAAACAAATAGGTTGAGGATTGCCTGTACTGTTGCCTTTGAAAACTGCAAAGAAAGACAATGTAGTTAGTCCACAGGACAGCCCCTGGTTACATTACAGTTGGGCCCACCGAGCATGTTCCTCTGAATCTTGAACTATTGCACTGCCAATAGAAATCAGTATATTTTGGGCCCAATTCAAAGTGGGAGACTAGGTTTGAATAGAAAGCCTTTCCCTCGGAAGACGAAGTAGAGTAAGGTGGCTCCACGAGGGTGGGCCATCGAGGTTGTGACGTTAGTCTTTCCCTAGACTAGAGAGAAAACAATGCTCTTCCACTTAAGGGAGGTAGGGAGGGCAGGATTTCCTCAGGCCGAACCACGGAGTAGCAGCAAAACCGTGGCGGGCTCATTCCTCGCTCTGGGAGAAAAGAGCTTCGGTGAGAAAGGAAGGGCAAGCGCGGTTAGGGCCGGCTTTGGAGAGCGTCCCATCTCTGGCCGCCATCCTGGCCTCCTCCGTAGCTACGGAGGATCTCAAGTGAATGCGGGAGGAAAGAGAGAGGGAAAGGGCGCGGAGCCGCAGCCACAGCTCGGCGGCGGCACCGGAGTTGTACGGCTCCTCCTCCTCCTCCCAGTCACGGCTGCGACGAGAGGCGGCGCTTGCCTGCGGTCGGCGAAGTCGTTGCTCTGTCGCCGGCCGAGTGGCTCGGCCCAGAGTCGCCCATGGTCGCGACGTGTCGCTTTGGAGGCGCCGGGAATTACGCTAGGCCGCGTCCGCTGCTTCGGCCTTTCCCGCCGCTCCGACCGCGACACCTGCAGCCACCCGGCGTTGCTGCTGGGCGGAAATCCCGCCGGTCCCTCGGGGAATTCCAGACCGAGAAGGACGAAGAGCGCCGGCGGCTGCTGCTGCTGTTGCTGCTGCCGCCGCCGCCGCTGCTTCTTCGTGCTGTTCCCTTAACACTCGGTCAGATCCCCCCCTGCTAATACCGGGGAGAGGCGGAGAAAGAGCGCAGCAAAACCTCGCTAAGGTAGGCCGGGTTCGGACGTCCCCTTAGAGGCAGAGGATGGTAAATTGCAGGGGCGCGTCTCCCCCACCCTCCGCTTTTCCCGCATTTCCTTGGTGCGGTTTGCAGAGGACGGGCTTTCCTTCCCAGGCATCAGACTGCGTTTACTGGAGCCCTCCCGTCATTTGGAGAAACAGATATAATAACCCTGTCTTCCCCCCCCCCAATACTTCTTCCTCTGTGCGCCCCCAAGATAACCTCTTCTCAAAGAGGTGACTTCTCAAATCCCAACTGTGAGGGGGGAAAAGGACTGGGTGTCTTTTTCCGTCTCCATCTCTTAATCCCACGAAGATTAGGAATCCCACTTGTCCCTGTTCTGTTTCTCTCCCTCTCCTCTCCTTTCAATTGAAGATTATGTCCTGCCAATTTCAGGAAGATGACTTTACTGGAGCAAGAGGAATATGCTCTGGTTCTTAATCTCGAGGAAACAATTGATAATCTTCACCCCCTATATGGGTATACATAAAAGGACAGAAGCTGCTTTCAGGCCAGAGAAAGTCAGGTCTGCACTGTATCTTCTTTGTCCCGTCAGAGGCACCCCTTTGCCCAGCTAAGTTTTTTAAAAGGAAAAGAATAACACATTTTGTATAGTGTCTTCTTTTTAGAATATGACACGGTTCACAAGGGAAGACACTTGTAAAAATGGATTCACTCCACATTACCCCCTTAGCCCACTAGGGCTACCTATTCAAGCTATTAGCTCAGAATTACTGTTAAATGTTTTCCTATGAGGTATAAGCCTGGCAGTATATTTAAAGGAGATGTATGTTTCACAAAATTAATTAACACAATTTAGGGCATAAGCATTTACTTTAACTTTTATCCAAATATAATGATAAAGGGTGTCCTTTACTATAGGGAGTATGATTGAAAGAAAAAAAATGCAAAATAGAAAGAGTGATAATTATATTGGTTTAAATAGGTCTGAATTAATTACAGTTACCTTACACTAATTTATAAAATAATACTGATTGATGCATTGACTTTCATAAATTTGATTAACTTTTTAAAAAAGCTTTTTGTTGCTTCTGGATCAGTGGCAAAATTAAGTCATACTGAGTGACATTACATGCAGAATTTTTCTTAGCTGTCAAATAGCATCACAGATTTTTTTTTCTAATGGATTTACTTTCTGATATATGTCAAAGTCATGGGGAATGGAATGGTAATATTTGTAGATTGTCTTGGAAGGGAAACTGGCATCCTTTAGAAATATCCTAGATGTAAACATACAGTATATTCCTGCATTGTGTTTTAAATGCAAGTTATGTGACAGGTGCTCATGTTTCATCCCTCTTATGAGAACTACGGTTAAAAACTGCCATGGACAAATCATTTAAATTAAAATGATTTATTTTCAGGATTTTACTTCCTTATCTTGGTATGTATCATGAATGGTTTTACAATAAAATTCTTAATTATATTTTAAGAAACCGTGAGATATCTATAGGTACAACGGAACTGCATACATTACACAGACCTTGAAGTAACCATCCTGCCTTATCAAAAGGGAAAAGTTTAGTTTAACAAGTTACAAGAAACGATATTATATGCAGTCTTTGAATTATATCTTTGCTTTTTAAATTAGTATTTTAAATTTGGAATTAATAATTTGATACTTTTTTTCTATCTATGTTTTTTTTGTTTAGAACTTGAAAAACAGTCATGTATATTATAGTCTCGTGATTTTTTTTAACAAATGAAACTGGAAGAGATATGAGGTCTGCCTTACTGGAATCTTCTTGGAATACTGTTGTTAAGGTATGCAAATTAAGTGGTTGTTATTCTTTTTCATTTGTCAAGTACTTACAGATTGTGGTCAGTATTTTCTCATATCCAGTAGATATTAATAATGTGCTAAAACTGTGTATACTTAAAATAAAATGTACAAACACAAGTTTAAATAACTTCCTGACTTAATCTTTATTTTTATCTTCAAGGGTAATTTCCTCTTTGATCATAAATGAGCATCTCTTGAACTAGACAGCCATAAATGTCACAAATTCCAAAGTATTCCATACAGTTATACATTTTTAGAGTTGATCTTTTTAGTAACTAATTATTTTTAATAAAGTAGAAGATATGTATATGAAAAATACTATGACTTAAGCTAATTGTTATGATAAATGCCTAGAAACCCAAGTTATTTAACTAAATGAAGATGAAAACAATCAGAATTGTTTCTTTATCACATAGAAAGTTAAAGCATTGTAAATTACATAATAATACATAGATATAATCTAAAACAATGGTCCCCAATCTCTGGGCTGGAGCCCACTACTGGGCTGTGGCCTATTTGCAATTGGGCAGTGTGAGCAGTGGGCCGGTGCACACATGCGCTCGTGCAAGTCGAGCTGCACATATGCACATGCGCACTGGCCCACCACTGAACCAGCCCTGTTCTCCTCTTCCCCTGTAGCCGAGCCACAAAGTGTGGGGACCGCTGATCTAAAATACCACACAATATATAGCTTCTCACATAGCAATAACCTTCTATTACCTCCTTTAAAAAAAAAATTCCCTCCAATTAAAGTATTTCTTCTAACTTGTTTGTTCAAGTACAATCATCTTCATTAATATCAATGGTTAAGAAAAATTCGTAAAACTGATGGAAAAAAAATATTTTTCTCTTGGGAAATTAACAAAGGTGCCCAAAGAATAACAAAAAACTATTTAGAATAGGCATGTCAAACTGCTGGCCCGCGGGCCGGATGTGTCACACCGAAACAGCGCCTACCCCATTGCCGGCAATGGGGGAAAAGGTCATGATACGTTGTGCGATGTCACATGGCATTGTGAGTTTGACATGCCTGATTTAGAAAGTAGCAGATTTGAGTTGAACATTGAAATACTTCAACAAATACACAGTCAGCACTTTTCATATGAAACACTGCAGCAAAAACATTAGATCTTTCCAAAGTGAAAAAGAGGTTTGAAACAGGGAAGAAAGGATTAGTTGCCATTGTCATTTACATACAAGGTTGTAAAGTGCATCATATAGGTACAGAGCCAAAAATGGGAGGAAATGACCAAATACCAGAACTGAGCAATTAGGGACTGATAAAATCCTATTGCCTCAATATATGTGGACTAAATAAATTGGAGGGAGGTTAGTTAAGGTAGGATGACCAACTTTTTCAATCTAGGACATAAACTCTTCCTCCATCTTCATTTGCAGAGGGCTAAGAGACAGAGATCCAAATTCATATGCTTTCTAAAAAAAAGATGCCTTGATTAATGGTACTGAAAGTTGCCTTGTAAATGTAGAGCAGTTGCCAAGCATTCAAATTGCAATCATGTGACCATAGGTATGTTGCGATGGTTGTAATTTTGAGGATGGGTCATAAGTCACTTTTTCTGAGGCCACTGTAACTTTGAACCATCATTAAATGAACAATCATAAGTTGAAGGCTACCTGTTTACCCTGCCTATGTAATAGGTTGGGTAGAGAGATGGCTACTGGTTCAAAGTAATCCATCCTCAAAGTAAGTAAGTACACAAAATACTGAAATGTTTTCAGATATTGTCAATCTTGTAATAATTGATTTATTACTAAATGTAGAGCCTATCTTTCTACTATAAGTGATATTCAAAGCATCTTTCAGTATATTAAAGTGCAAACTGAAATTATGAATGAACATAAAAAGTAAGATAAAGAGGAAACAAATATCCACAATTTAAAATCTCTTCAAACAAATACCTTAAAAGCCAAATTCCTGTTTGAATTATTTTTTTTCCTTTTGCTTACTAGTAGATAGACAGTACACACACACACATAATCCAACAGGGATGAGAAAGAAGTGTCTCTATTAACAATTTTAAAAATCTCACATGGTCATATAGGAAAATAGGGTTTTTCAGTAGCCTACTTCAAAGAAGCGTCAGATTTTATAGATGGACTAGAATAGAGCTGGAAAGGATCTTGGAGGTCTTCTAGTCCAGCCCCCTGCTAAAGCAGAAGGACCTATATCATCTCAGACAAGTGACCGTCTAGCCTCTTCTTAAAAATCTCCTGTGATGGAGCACCCACGATTTCTGGAGGCAAGCTGTTCCACTGGTTAATTGTCTTCACTGTCAGGAAGTTTCTCCTTAATTCCAGGTTGCTTCTCTCTTTGATCAGTTTCCAACCATTATTTCTCATCCTTCCCTCTGGTGCTCTGGTGAATAGCGTGACCCCCTCTTCTTGGTGGCAGCCCCTCAAATACTGGAATATTGCTATTATGTCTCCCCTATTTCTTCATTTCTTTAAACTAGCCAAATCCAAGTCCTGCAGCCGTTTTTCATATGTTTTAGTCTCCAGGCCTTTATTCATCTTAGTTGCTCTTCTCTGAATGTTTTCCAAACTCTCAACATCTTTTTTGTGATATGATGACCAAAATTGGCTGCAGTATTTCAGGTGTGGTCTTACTAAGGTTTTATTAAGCAGTACTAATACTTTGCGTGATCTTGATTCTATGCCTCTGTTTATATAACCCAGGATTGTATTAGCTTTTTTGGCTGATGCTACACACTGCTGGGTCATAGTCAAGTGATCGTCCATTAGGACTCCAAGGTCCCTCTCACAGTTGCTGTTTTTAAGCCAGGTCTCACCTAATCTGTACTTGTACCTTTGATTTTTCCTGCCTAAATGTAAAAGTTTGCTTTTCTCCACATTGAAACTCATTTTGTTGGATAGGGCCCATTATTCAAGTTTGTCAAGATCTTTTTGGATCCTGAGTTTGTCTTCTGGGGTGTTGGCTATTCCTGCCAGTTAGGTATCATCTACAAATTTGATGAGTTCCCCTTCAATTCCCTCATCTAAGTCATTGATGAAGATATTGACGAGTACTGGGCCTAAGACGGAACCTTGTGGTACCCTGCTACTTACTTCTCTCCATGTGGATGTAGTGCCATTGAGGACTACTCGTTGAGTACAATTTGCCAGCCAGCTACAGATCCATCTAGTGGTGATGTTGTCTATTCCACCTTTTTCTAGCTTACCAAGGAGTAAGTTGTGGTCTACTTTATCAAATGCCTTACTGAAATCTAAGTATACTACATCCACAGCATTTTGCTGGTCTACTAGTTAGTCACTTTATGAAAGAATGAAATAAGATTGGTTTGGCATGTTCTGTTTTTAACAAACCTGTGCTGGCTACTAGTTATAAATTCGTTTGCTTCTAGTTGTTCGCAGATCTGTTTTTTGATTATCTTTTCTAGGATCTTCCCAGGTATTGATGTTAAACTGATTGGTCTGTAGTTTCCTGGGTTCATTTTTTTTCCCTTTCTTGAAGATGGGAACCACATCAGCCCTTTTCCAATCCTCAAGTACTTCCCTGGTGCTTCAGGATTTATGAAAGATGTGGTACAGTGGTTCTGAGATAACATCTGCCAGCTCCTTCAAAACTGTCAGGTCCCGGTGATTTATATTCGTCAAGGTTGGATAGGTGTTATCTTACCATTTTCTTGCTTATTTTAATTTTTGTTTCTCATTTGTCTTTTGCAGTGATTTTTTTGGGGGGTATATTGGGCTATAGCAGTGGTGGCGAACCTATGGCATGGGTGCCAGAGGCGGCACTCAGAGCCCTCTCTGTGGGCACGCACGCCGTCGCCCCAGTCTTAGGCCTTCAGCTGGGTTTTATAAAACCTTTTCACTTTAGGCCTCTGCCGCCGTATGCAAAAAAAAAAAAGGTTCAATCAGTCAATTTCAACTCGCGGGAAAAGAAAAGATCTTGCAAAGTTGGAATTGATTGATTGAACTTTTTAGTCCCACCCAGTTTGCCGTTACCACCATAGCCACGGCCACCCAATGGACCACGCCCACCCAATGGGCGACACCCACCCGGCACTCAACGATGCATAAGTGGGTTTTGGATTGCAGTTTGGGCACTCAGTCTCTAAAAGGTTCGCCATCACTGGGCTATAGTTTCTTTTTGTGTGAAGACTGATGCAAAGTATGAGTTAAGCAACTCTGCTTTCTCCCTGTTGCCTGTTATTTCCTTGCCATCTTCTCTCTTTAGTGGACCTACAGTTTCCTTTACTTTTTTCTTGTTGTTAATATGTTAGACTTTGAATTGACTAAAAAAGGACCAATTGCCAGTGAAATTGTTGTAACCTAAAAGTCACATTCTCTGACAAATAGCAGAATAGTCTGCTACCTGCCCTGTAATCTGCCCTTTTGGCTGATCAATGATAGTTTTGCTTTCTCTGGATCAATGTAGCTCTTGTTTGCTCTTATCTAACCCCTTATCAACATGTGATAATTAAACTTAGAATTTTACTTTGTTTAGACTGCAAGGAACAGAATTAGATATCATTAACAATTGATTTTGAGAAAGCCAGACGGACAATGCACATCTTGTATATGGGCTTCATTGTGAGTTGCTTGGGATATAATTAAAAGGTTGGGTTGTGAGCTATTTAGCTTTAGCTTAGTTATTTAAAAGTCTGTTTATTCCTACTAAAAGTGCCTGGCCCATAAAGAAAGCTATGGTTATTAAACTAATTCAGTAATTACCTACAAACAGTATGCATGCATGTATTTCTGAAATGCTGCTCAATATATGCTACTCAATTTCAGAAAGGCCCTGAATTGATTGCAAAAAGTAAAATTAAAATAATTAAGGGGGGGGGAGAAAAGCAAACATTCAATATGAATGTTTATTTCCTAGTCACACTGTCCTAGCAGCACACTCTAGATCAGTGTTTCTCAACCTTGACCATTTTAAGGCATGTGGACTTCAACTCCCAGAATTCCACAGCCAGCAATGCTGGCTGTGGAATTCTGGGAGTTGAAGTCCACATGCCTTAAAATGGTCAAGGTTGAGAAACACTGCTCTAGATAGGGCTTGATAGCTTTCCTCAGTGCCAGTTAAATTGGTGCTGACCTAAAATGAATTCTTCCAAAGAAGAATTGCTGTACTGTACTGTGAAATTATTCTGTTCCTTAAAGTGCGTATGATTCTGAAGCTAATGCTTTTCCGGTAAGAGTAAACAAATACAGGTAGTTCTTGACCTAACCATTTGTTTAATGACCATTCAAAGTTACAAAGGCACTGAAAAAGTGATGTTTTTCATACTTGCAACCTTTGCAGCATCCTCATGGTCATGTGATCAAAATTCTGGCATGCGTTTATGACAGTTGCACATTTTGACAAGCAAAGTCAATGGAGAAGCCAGAGTCACTTAATAAACATGTTCCTAACTTAACTGTAGTAATTTGCTTAAAACTGTGGTTAAAAAAAGTTATAAAGTGGGCAAAATTCACCTAACTGTCTTGCTTTAGCAACAGAAATTTTGGGCCCAGTTGTGGTCGTTAAGTGTAAGGACTACCTGTACAAGATTTTTTTCTATTGATTTTTAGCATGATGGATTTTGGATTTTTCTGGCTTTCAGGCCTAGTTTTTAGAAAATGTGGATATTGCATCTCTTGATGCAATTTATTTTTCTTAGAACTGGTGCTTTTGAAAGAATAGTTTGTATGATTGTTTTTCTAATATGTGAACCAGCTATTATCTTGACAGATGCAGTGGCTTATTGAAGTTAATTATCCATCAGATTCTAAATTATTGCTGCACACAAATAGCTGTTAGCAATGAATAATTTAGTGTAGCTTCATTTTGCAGTGCATTTCGGAGGCCCTTTTCTCTTGAAGGCAGTGAGGTGATGTCCAAGCATTTATATTTATTATTCCATTTTGTATCTCCCTTGTTGGACCTTTGGTAAGAAAAGAATGAGGAAAGAGAATGAAAAAGTTGCACTATAAAGTATTTTATTTCACCAGAATTCCTTCTGAGATTGTATTCTACTTGTCTTTTCCTGTATTTTGATTTGCATCAAACGGAGCCACATCTGCTTGCGTTATTGATTGGCTGGCAGAACCAGAGACTAACTAAAGGCAGTCTTCATCAGAGTATCTGTTCAAGGGCAGTGTCCAAAGAAAGTCCACAGATCAAAGCATGTGGACTATGGGACAGACAGGATAGTTTTGAGATTAGGTCTGGGCACAGTCAGAAATTACCCAAGCTCAGGTTCAGTTAATTAGAGAGGCTCTTGCAAAACTCCTATTTAGGAGAAAGATATTAGTCATGAGTACAACTTTACGCGCAAGGAACCTTTGCTTCTTTATACTACTTCTGCTGCTAATGGTGGATTCAGCCTGCACTTTGATTGTGAGCCTTATGGTCAGCTTCAGATTTCTTAGACAGAGGAGCTTCTCAGAGAAGTTCCACATTTTCTAAAGAGGAATAGTTACAAGTGGGAGTTCTTTCCCTCAGATCTGTTCTGTAAACTGAAGGGAAAGAAAGGTAACTAAAATGCAAGGGAAGGGAATATAACTTGTGATAAGGAAGGGTATGAAATGATGGACCGAATTAAATTAGCAAAACAAAAAGATGCAAGAGGCGAAGTTCATTTTAAAAAAATAGGACTGAGGCTGAGAATAGAGTTTGAAGTTACTTTCAGGTAACTTGGAGAAAAAGATATTATTGGAGATTTAGGAAAACACTCTTAGCAGATTATTCCATCCCAACTATTCGTTGTCATTCCTTTTCTCTCTTTCCCACGGTCACTTGTAAAGCATTGCAGTGTACAGGTAGTCCTCGACTTACAACCACAATTGAGCCCAAAATTTCTGTTGCTACGTGAGACATTTGTTAAGTGAATTTTGCCCCCATTTTACGACCTTTCTTGCCACAGGTGTTAAGTGAATCACTGCAGTTTTTCAATTAGTAACCTGGTTGTGAGGTGAACCTAGGGTTCCCTATTGACTTGGTTTATCAGAAGGTTGCAAAAGGGGAGCACAGTTGTCATAAATACATGCCAGTTGCCAAATCTTGATCACATGACCTTGGGATACTACAATGATCATAAGTTACTTTTTTCAGTCTCTAAACGAATGGTTGTAAGTCGAGGACTACCTCAACTGTATATATCCTTTAGCATTTGGTTGAAGTAATAATTTGTTAATTAAGATTTGGTTTAATTTTGCGTGAGGTATTGATAAAATAATATAACATTTCATGTAGTCATTGGTAACACAGAATTATTTTTAGTTACTCTTGCTGTAAATGTTTTCCACTTGTAACCGCTATATATTTCATTATTCTCCTATAATGTTTGGACATGTCTAAATAAATATACATATATTTTAATCCAGTATTTATCCAGTGGTAATTTTATGCAATGGCCTCAAGCCACCGGTCTTCACCAGTGCCTCAATCAAAGAACAATGATGCTTTCTTTAAAAAGGAAATGGATTCTTCCAAATGTTTTCGACCAGTGCGCACGCTACCAGATGTGTGCCCCAAGGAACCCACAGGTAGAAACACAAGTTTGGATGTTTAAACTGGTTTGCTTTGTTTGTTTGTTTCTTTTTCAAAAGGATAGTTGGATTATTTTTTCATTTATCAAATAGAGTGGTAGTATCTTAAGGACTAGCATATGAGAGAGAGAGAGAGAGAGAGAGAGAGAGAGAGAGAGAGAGAGAGAGAGAGAGAGAGAGAGAGAGATCAGCATCAGCAAAATATATTCTTAAGAATAATAGCTATCCGAGAACAATCAAGTTATCCAGCTAATAGTCAGTGATAAAATTAAAAATTAAACAGAGATGTGTTAAAAAGTAAGTTTTCAGAGTAACACTACTAAATTGTTGGGAATTAACATTCAAGAATAGATTTTGCCTGACAATAGCTCTGAGTGAAAAAGAGTTTACAGAGAGACTTAGGTTTTTGATAATAAAAGGCAATACTTTTGGAGAATTTACAAATAACCTGAAGAGAAATATTAGAATACATAATACTCCAAACTGAATGCTTGGTAACAAGTTCTACATTCAGCCGAAGGGAATCATCTTTCAGAAACTGAGATAGGATATCTGGCATAACAAGAGAGATTACAAAAGTACAAAATATACTAATTCAGAGGTTAAAACTCAAATCCAGATTGGACAACTGAGTCAGTATATTTGTATTCAATATCTGATGAGTGATGAGAATACTTTTCTTGGTATAAAATAAATTATAGCTTTAGAACTATTTGGTGTAGATTAAATGACATAAATTTCCACGTTACCCAAGAACTTGAGGAATGCAAAATAATAGTGAAATATTGAAAATGTATGACTTACTTAGTATTTCATAATACCGTAACTTACTCAAAAATTACATGTAAACATAACTGCTTTATTGACATAATGATATATCACTTGTATATAATATAAGAATATTCTAGATTCAGCCAGTTTGAAATGAATGAAAATTGGAAGACAAGACAAATAATTTAAATATACTGTAAATTAAACAATCTGAGAATGTGTGTACCAGTCATTTTTACTGGCAAGAAATGGAGAGTACACAAATCACTGTCCTATCTACATATAATTTGGCCTGGTAGAGATGGTAATTAACAACAACAGTTTTTATCAGTAGAAGAAAAAATCATTTGCTAATCCTTAACTATTGAAACTAAATGGAGGCAGTTTTCAAATGTATATGACAAAACATAGGCCATTTTCAAAATACTGTTATTTCATGGGTAAATTAATAAAGAGTATTTGAAAGAGTAAATTAGTAAAGACCTGACCTTTCTAAATCTTGCTTATTTATTTCTTGCTTTGGGCTTCAGTCCCATAAAAATTCTTAGAAACATTAATGTTAGTAGAAAAATAAGTTTCCAAAGTATTGGCAGAAATACAACTTGCAATTGAGCCAGTAAATCAGGGTTTAGAAATGAACAAACATAACATTTTTGTACTATTATTTAAACAAGGTTTTGGCAGGAATGGGTCCATCTTCATTCTGTGCTATCTGGGTAAGGAATGGGGTGCTAATATTTCTTTCTTCCCTGCCAATGAACTCTGCTGTCATTTGATCTGGGAAATCAGCAAACTATAATGGCTTTGCTGTTGTAAAATATTGTAATGGGTGCAGTTTTCTATTTTTAGGATTCACAAAGTATGTTTTTAATGATATCTCAGGTTACCTTCTTGATACAAATTTATTTGCCATATCATGGAGAGTATCAAAGTGTTCATTATTTTCTATTCTTCTATGACTACTAATAACATTCATAAAACCAAGAAGAATATGCTTACTCTTCTTGTTTCAAAAATGTAGTGAACCGCTGTAAATTCAAATACCTATACATCCAGCTAATACATTATCTTGTTCTACAATAATTCTTTAAATACTGGCTTGTATGATTTAATTGTACAGTCAGCCTTTAGAATAATTGTAAGCTTAGGCAAAACATTGTTTTACTAGATCATATTCCATGATTAGATTTTTTTTTTTTGTCTTGCAGGTGATCCTAGTAGCTTATGTGGCAGTCCATCTTTAGTTGTTGATCAACATCGATGGACTATTTATCATTCCAAAGTAAATCTCCCAGCAGCACTAAATGATCCTCGATTAACAAAAAGGGAATCTGATTTCTTTACAAAAACATGGGGACAGGATTTTGTGGACATTGAAATCGTGCCTTCACTCTACCTCCCACAAATCAACAAGGAACATTTTGTAACATACCAACGGGAAGTTGTTCAGGTAAAAATAAATTGCATGTCTGTGCACTAAGCTCATCGATATTTGCTATTTGAATTTAATTATTACTAAACTTCAAATGGACTTTATGGTATCTTCAAATTATTTACTTCAAATAATGTAGAACCATTAAAGGAACCAACTTGCAAATATGAATCCTTGTAACGATAATAAATTTATATTATAATATATAGATACCAAAAGTATCAATAACTGCTGACACGGTCTAGGAATGGGTACAACTGGCACACATTTTAGCTATGTAAAGACCCTCCTAGCCACAGCTGCGACCTGATCTTCAAGCAGAAGGCCCAGTTGCCATCTGGGATAGTGCAACCCTATCCAGAATGGAAGTCCCCAGAACCATGGAATCTTAAAAGCCAGAGCCATTCAATCTTCCTAGAATTAAATTGAAGCTGAACCTCTCCCACTGTATCAGCACTGATCAGAACTGGCTCCAGAAGAAGCAGGAGAACCAGAACAACATACTGCCACCCTGCCCAATTTTTGAAACAGTTCAAAAAGATTACCATGATCAATACTATTGAAGGCTGCTGAAAGGTCAGAAAGAGCAATGACGGACACCTTATTCCATCTTATTCCCACCAGAGATCATCTAGAAGTGTGATCAATACTGTCTTAGTGCCATTCCAAAATCTGAATCCCAGTTGAAAGGGGTCCAGATAATATTCTAAAGTTCACTGGAGTTGCTGTGCTACCATCTTCTCTAAAATCTTCTCCAAAAAGGGAAGGTTAAACACTGGAAGAAATTGTCCAAAATAGTTGGGTCAAGCAATGACCTCTTGAGGGAGCAACCATTGCTTCCTTAGGAGCAAGTAGCACCATCCCCTTTCTCAAAGAGAAATTTTCCAATGTCAAGCCCAACCATACATTGCCTCTAGGTAGGCCTTAGGTAACCAGGAGGGAAATGCATCTAAAACAGTGATATAAGCTAGATCAGGGATAGGCAACCTTGGCTCTTTTATGACTCGTGAACTTCAACTCCCAGAATTCCTGAGCCAGCTATGTAGATAGTAGTACGGTATCTACAGTATAATTAAGAATTAAAATCTTATTAATTACTATAAACCAATGATTTTAACAGTCACAAGGACTGTGCCCACTATCAGGATCAACAGGATCAACTCCTCCCAGATAATCAAGCCAGATTGAATTGTTCCTAATTCATTGAATGAATTGGCTCTACTGCTTTGTAAATGATAAAATTAGAATGAGTATCTAGAGAATTTTAAAATCATTGGTTTATAGTAATTAATAAGATTTTAATTCTTAATTATACTGTAGATACTATACTACTATCTACCTTACACTCCATTTTGCCAGTGAATTTTTGACAAAGGCTTCTTCTTGGGTAAGGAATTTAACATATTAGAAAAATGTTCTTCATCATTTTCAAACCAAGCATTTTCTTTATCTGATTTATTTTTTAGAAAGAGAAGATTCATGAGAAATGTAAGAATATTTGTCCTCCTAAAGATACTTTTGACAGGACATTGTTACATACTCATGGTAAGTTTCTCTTTTTATTTTTTTTTTCACTATCTGTCATATCACAGATTTATTTAGAATAATATTAAATAAATTTTAAATTACATTTTTAAAATTAATTATTTCCTGCTTTTATTTTGTAACAGAAAATCAGTGAATGAAAAGAATATCTTGAGGGTGTATATAATTCAAATATCTTTATCTGTCATGTAAATTATTTTTTTTTTAATTTTAATTTTATTTTATTCCTAGATAAATCCAGGACAGATTTGGAACAAGTACCTAAGGTATGACTAAAACATTTCGTAGTCATAAGAAAAAGTGTGTGTATGGTAAAAATTCTTTAAGAGTTCTTTTATTTGGGGGGGAGGGTGCAGTGTTTAAGGCACCAGGCTAGGAAGAAAGCAAAGGCAAATCATTTCTGAAAATGTTGCCAAGAAAACTGCAGGGACTTGTCCAGGCAGTCAGCAGGATTCCTGAGAACAAATACACATACAATTTTGTACAAAGAAGTATGCAATTTAGAAAGCTTAACACAGCTCTCTGCTGTTTTCATGTTTTTCTTCTTTTGTAAGATTTTGTTTTATTTATCTTTGTTGGACTAACATTTAAAATATGGCAAAAGAAATTCCAGACTTATGTGTCTTCTTTTCCCTTCTTTTGCTGTCTGCTCGTAAGCTGTGGCGTTAAAATTTAAAATTTCCTAATTTAGTTTACAACAAACTTACATCAACATTTTAACAATATTGTGCATTTTCAGCCTTTATTTATTGCAAATTTCAAAGAAATGTTTATTTTAAAAATGGCCAAAACAATAATAGCAGACCTTATTGGTGTGATGTGCTTAGGAAAAAAAGGTGGTAGATACTATTTTGGAGCTGGATTGAGGTAACTGGGTATGAATCTGAATTCAGCCTTTTTTTTACTTCATGACCCATTTCTCAAGCAATGCCATTTCGTATCCTGATTCTTGTGGTCATATCCATTCTCTGGGGTAGGTTGGTGTCCACCTGCATTGAACAACATGGATTAATTCATGCTATATGTTTGTTTCCCTTAGATAATCTTTTATCTTTTTTTCTGGGTTAATGTAATGTAATTTTGTGAGCCACCCTGAATTGCTGACTGGGGATATTATTCAGTGTCTTTATGTGCATTGGAAAAAAATGATTATTTATAGAACAAGATTAATAAGAATATTAAAGGTAACAAGATGACGATGATGATCTGCCATCAAGTGGTTTTTGACTGCTGATCACAAAGATGGATTTTCTCCATGACAATCTACCCTGTTATTTCAAGTCTCCCAATGGTGCACCCATCACCACTGTAAATGAGTCTATCTGCCTCACCGCTTGTCATTTTCTTTTCTTCCTCACCTCTATCAAGTTCACTGAGATTGTAGTTGAATATTTCATCCCCTCTCTATTTTAAAGGTCCATCTCTGCTGATTCCTCAAGCAGTCCCCCAATACTCGTGTGTGGCGGCTATTAAAAAAACACAGTGTTTTGCTAGGGATTTTTAGGAAATGAATTGGAAATAAAACTGTCAGTATTGGTTTGCAGTGAGGGATCCTCCTGAACTTATAGCATTGTGGATAGAGCAGAGGCAAGCTATGGCTAGAAGGGCAAAAAAAAAAAAACTTGCTACAGTAACGGTTTGGTCAATTGCACTTCATTTTAAGGACTACGTGGAAAATGTAGTTAGTTCAAAAAGCAACAATCTGTGCGCTAACTGGTTCCTATAACAGGTCATTTGGAACATGTTATACTGATATTGCAAACCCCTCACTGACTGCTACTTAACTGTGGGATGTAATTTTAAAGTGCTGGTTTTGACTTACAAAGCCCTTTTATAGATTAGTACCTGGAAACCTACGCTCCAACCTGAATATCAGATGGTATAGAGAAAAACTTTCCAAATGCCTCACCATCAGAAAATAAAGGAGGGGGCTGAAAGAAGGAAGTACAGCGGTACCTGGCACTCAACTGCTTCAAAATGCATTCGGTATTTGATGCATTTTGAAGCAGAATCTTGTCCCGGCACTCATCTTTCTCCCGGGAGGTCGATGTGCAAGGAAGAACTTGCTGGCATCAGCTTCCTCCTGACTCACTAATTTTTTTCTGGCAGAAATAGTGGGTCATGTGATAAGTTACATGAGGGTTTTTTTTAGCCCTCAACAGTTTTAATATTTGGCGCCTCTTCCAGAACGAATTAGCAATGAGGACTGAGGCACACTGTATTTCCGTTTGGGGGTAACTCAGTGCTCTGGAAGAGCTTTCCTTAAGGGTAGCCTGGTGCATTCAGGAATATATTGAAGATGTTTTAACCTATTTGAATCCCTCATTTTTGTTTTCTTTTATTCTTATTTTACCATTAAGATTTTTTTTTTTTTTTACAAACAAAACCAAAATGATAAAAGTCACCATGGATTTTTAAATTGGTTTTCTAAAGTATCAGCCACCAAGATTCAGATGACTGCAGCAGAACAGAAATAAATACATTATGGTATAATTGATTCGTTGGTTTAAATTCTAAATATTTTATACCCAGCATGAACAGGGACACTCCTGAAGAAAACTGATAAGTAAATAACATAATTATAATGTCTGAATTATAGTATGCAGTGAATATGAGATGTGGGTTTTCCCCCCAGATTTTTATGAAACCAGATTTTGCCTTGGATGATCCCATAACATTTAATGCAGTATTACCTTGGTCTCATTTTAATACTGCTTCTGGGAAAGGAAACCGTGATACAGCTTCCTCCAAGCTACTCCAAGAAAAGGTAAACAATATGCATATTTTCACCACAGTGATTAAAAATAATTGAAGTATTTTCTTGAATTGCCATGTTTTTTTGTTTTGTTTAAAAGCAAATGAAGGATAAGATATATATACCATGTTTGGCTATTTCATTTTCCAACTAGCTTTCATTTTAATAGCAACCCTTAAGAAAAGCTTCCTATGCAAATTCTAAATACGTTTTGAAAGAGCTCGATCAGAACTTGTGTGCTTGCAACTGACAGCCTTTCTGCCAGTTTCTACATTGTTCTGGTGTTTTTCCAGCCTTTAAACTAGATTAGAGGGCACAGAATTTGTGGGTCAGAAAAATTGGGGAAAATGCATCTCTCTGGTACATTCACAGAGTAACTTCTATTAGATCACAGAGACTTCCAAGAAGGGAAGAATATTTTTTTTTTTCTCTGAAGAATGGCAGCAATTCAAAAATACTGAACTGTTTCTCAGTTTTATATTGGGACCCTTTTGATTTTGACCATATACTCATTTTTGCTAAGTAAATAAGGGGTCTGTTTTATAGGTAATAATTTGTAAAAAAAAATACTTGTATGGAGTATTTTAGAATGCAATTTCTTGAATGAAGCACACTGTATGAATTTGCTGGTATTTTAATAATGACTTTTGTAGATAGATCAAATCCAACATGATTTCTCTTTTTTTTTTTTTCTTAAGCTTAGTCACTATCTGGATATTGTGGAAGTAAATATTGCTCATCAGATCTCTCTCCGATCAGAAGCTTTTTTTCATGCAATGACCTCTCAGCATGAACTGCAAGACTACCTCAAGAAAACGTCCCAGGCTGTAAAAATGCTTCGAGATAAAATAGGCCAAATAGACAAAGTCATGTGTGAAGGATCTCTTAAAGTATTAAGTTTATCACTGAGTAGAAATAACTGTATAAAAGCGTATAATAAGCTGAAGTTGATGGCAACTGTACACCAAACACAGCCTACGGTACAGTTATTGTTGTCCACTTCTGAATTTGTTGGAGCATTAGACTTAATTGCAACCACACAGGAAGTGCTACAGCAGGAACTTCAGGGCATACACAGTTTCCGGTAGGTAATGTTTGAGATTTCATTAGATATGGATAATCATATAATCATTAACTTACTTTGCATGTAGATAGCCTAGTCATTTTTATACTTAATCATTTAATTGTTTTTGAAGGAAGAGGGAAATTTACTTATCAAATTTATATAGCCACCCATCTAACTTCGGCAGCGTACAACAATTAGATAAAGCTTATTTAATGTTCAATTATGTATTTGCCATATGCAAAGCACTGGCTTCCACTTTTCAACTCTGCAGAAACCAGGGGGGGGGATTGTTCATAAGAAATATAAAAGAGATGAATTTTAAATGAGTTATAAGGGTTCTGTTTTCAGTGCTTTTTGATTATTTTGTTGCTATGTTTTTGGTTATTTTGTACTGTTTTGTGTTTTTAACTTTATATGCTGCTTAGAGTCATATATATGATATGGGCAGCTATATAAATTTACCAAATAAATAAATAAAATAAAAGAGTGTTTCTTAAAATATAAGAATATTGATAGAGCAGACTGCCATCCTGAATAGAACAGTGGTTATTCATATATTTCCAGGGACTTCTAAACAAGACAGTGCAAGCAATCCGTTTTTTATCAGTTTGTTCTCACTTTAATTGAAATTTCTTTTCAGTTCATGTCAAAGTAGAATGTCTTTGTTTAAATGGAACTGTAATATACTCTGAAAAAAAAGTATTAATATGATAGTAATACATCCCCATGTTTCTCAATATTAACTTTATTTCTTCTAAAACGTTTTTCTTGGTTTTTTAAAAAATCCTAAACAGACATCTTGGATCACAGCTTTGTGAATTAGAAAAACTGATAGATAAAATGATGATTGCAGAGTTCTCTTCTTATTCGCACAATGATTTAAGTCGACCTCTGGAGGAAGAATGTCAAATTTTAGAAGAGGTACAGTGTTCAATATTGAATAAATTTACAGTTGCCTTCAGGACACAATCTGAAATCCATAGCCAGAAATGCTATTTATTTTTTCTTTTTATTAAAGTAATCCACACCATTATAATTTGAATTATATTCAGTGATTTATAAGCATTAATTTTGATCCCAATATACATTTGTATATCTTTTCTTTTCTGTACTACATTTGGGAAGGACATGAGCATGGTCAAGTTGAACATGAGCCAGCTGTATGAGCTAATGCTCTTCTGGGCTACACTAGAAAAAGCACTCTATGAAAGATGCATGGATTCCTTATTATTTTCTCCTCTACACTAGCTCACTTACTAATTGATATTATCCAATGAGGAAGTATTACTGTGTTGTAATTTATAAAATCTAATATTATATATAGAGAGATTATATAGATCAGTGGTTCTCAACCTGTGGGTCAGGACCCCATTTGGGGTCGAACGACCATTTCACGGGGGTCGCCAAACAAGGCTGTCCGCCATTTTTTTCCCCTTTTCTTTGGCCACGCCCCTGGCGCCCGGTGATGTATAAGTGGTTGGGGGTCACCACAACATGGGGAACTGTATTATGGGGTCGCGGCATTAGAAAGGTTGAGAACCACTGATATAGATAATCTATCTAACTATTAAGACAAGGATAGTAGAGTCAAAAAGCTTTTCATTTATATATTTGATATGTGCAGTGCTCTTGTATCAGAATAATTCATTTTATGCTAATATTTTCTTCATTATATCAAAATATATGCTTGTCCTTTCTTCGGTTTGCATTCACAGTCATGGTAACTGTCTTAACATTCGCCAGTATATGCACAATTATAGTGCATTCACTTTTGTCAATTTTGTAATGCTGCAGCCTGATTCTCCAGTTGTTGAAATTCATTTTTTTGCATTAATCTACACTCCATACCCCATAATGACAAAGTGAAAACGGAATTTTAGAAATGTCTGTCAATTTATTAAAAAGAAAAAACTGAAATATCACATTGGCATAAGTATTCAGACCCTTTACAACAACACTTGAAAGTTAGCTCAGGTGTTCCCATTTCTCTTGATCATTGCTGACATGTTTCTACACCTTGATTGGAGTTGACTTGTAGTAAATTTATTGGACATGATTTGGAAAGGCACACACCTCGCTATAGAAGGCCTCACAGCTGACAATGCATACTGTAGCAGGGCAAAAGCCATGAGGACAAAGGATCTGCCTGCAGAGCTCAAAGACAGGATTATTGCAAGGCACAGATCTGAGGAAGGCTACAGTAAAATGTCTGCTGCACTGAAGGTTCCTAAGAGTACAGTGGCCTCCATAATTCTCAAATGGAAGAAGTTTGGCACTACCAGGACTTTTCCAAGAGCTGGTCACCTAGTTAAACTGAGCAATCGGAGGAGAAGGGCCTTTGTAAGAGAGGTGACCAAGAATCCGATGGTCACTCTGACTGAGCTCCAAAGATCCTGTGTGGAGATGGGAGAGAGTTACAGAAGGACAATCTTCACTGCAGCTCTCCATAAATCTGGGCTTTATGGTAGAGTGGCTAGACGGAAGCCTCTCCTCGGTGCAAAACACATGAAAGCCTGCTTGGAGCTTGCAAAAAGCACCTGAAGGACTCTTAGACAGGAATAACATTCACTGGTCTGATGAAATTAAGATTCAACTGTTTGGCCTCAATTCTAAATGTTGTGTCTGGAGGAAACAGCACCACTCATCACCTGCCCAATATCATCTCAACAGTGAAGTGTGGTAGCAGCATCATGCTGTGGGGGTGTTTTTCAGCACCAGGAACTGGGAGACTGGTCAGGGATTAGGGAAAGCTGAATGGAGCAAAGTACAGGACTATACTCAATGAAAAGCTGTTCCACTATGCTCAGGATCTCAGACTGGGCTGAAAGTTCACTGTCCAACATGACAACATTCCCAAGCACACAGCTTAGATAACACAGGAGTGGCTTAGGGACAACTGTGAATGTTCTAGAGTGGCCCAGCCAGAGCCCTGACTTGAACTCTATTGAATATCTCTGGAGGGACCTGAAAATGGCTGTCCACCAACACTCGCCATCCAGCTTGGCTCAGTTTGAGAGGATTTGCAAAGAAGAATGGCAGAAAATCCCCCAATCCAATCCAGCGTCATATCCCTGCTTCAACAGTACTGAGTGAAGGGTCTGAGTACTTAACGCCAATGTGATATTTCAGGTTTTTCTTTTTAATAAATGTACAGACATTTCTAACATTCTGTTTTCACGTTGTCATTATGGGATACTGAGTGTAGATCAATGAGAAAAAAAATGAATTTCAACAACTGTAGAATCAGGCTGCAGCACAACAAAATTGACAAAAGTGAAGGGAGTCTGAATACTTTTTGAATGCACTGTATATATTCACACCACGATTTTGTAACTTCTGCTGTCCAAACCTAAAATCCTATTACAGGGACAATTTCCACTGAATTTACTCTTTTGTATATTTTGTTTTTTCCCCCCCTTTACCTAGGAAAGGCTTATATCATTAGTGTTTGGACTTCTAAAGCAAAGAAAGCTGAATTTTTTTGAAATATATGGAGATGAAATTATTACCACAGCAAAGAATATAATAAAGCAGGTGATTTATGTTCAAAGATTTTTACCTATTTTATATATCGAAAGCATGTATTCTGCAGGCAATTTTATATTTCAAAGTAACTTAATAGCTTTCTCTTTTCTAATAATTGAGTTACAGAAATGTGGCAAAACCCATGTATTGTTGATTTATGGTATAGTTTTGAATAGACTACACATTGCTATTTAGAGAAGTAAGCTAATTAGATTTTAAAATATGGGTTGCTGGGAAGTTTTATAATTCCTCACCAAATGTACAAAACAAGGAACACTGTACTTCATAATCTATTGCTTTAAATTTATTTAAAAGTATATCTTGGTTTTCACAACTAATGTCTGATAATAGCATTTAGCAGCAGCTATAGTTGAGAGAAAGGGTAGGGAATTGCAATTTTTTAAAATTGATGAGTTTCAAAGTATCACCCAGCCCTTGCTGTAAAGAACTATGATCATGCCCTGTATTTTGCCAGCCTTTTTTACAAAGTGGTACAATATATTTGAGGGGAATTGATGCTGGTGACTTGCCCTTGTATGGGCAAATGAGAGCACCCAGTGTTTAGCTCATGCTTGACCCAGATTAAATTGACTGCTACCTCTGATTTTTACAGGATGGGGCCTATTCAAATGAACATAACCAAAAAGTAATTCTAACCAAAAGCTTAGGTATGTGCTCCTATTCAGACCTACACTTGACAGTAATGGAGGGCAAATCTCTTAATTTTTCCAGTGATCTTTTTAGGATGACTAAATCCCCTATTAAGAAAAAAGTCAACACAAGGTATTTCATATAATCACTCTGGTTTTCACAGCACAACAGCACTTTGCAATTAAAAGCACTTAGATTTGCTAGAACCTGACTCCTTGTGAACAGGGGTTTTAGTAGAGATTAAGACATCATGTTGTTGCATTATCTAGGACACCTTTTGGACTATAAACTCCAAGAAAGTGGGTGCAGTTTTCTTTAGATTGTACCTGCTATATGCTCAGCTTTTTTGAGGCAGGGGGTAGTGTGACCATCTGGATCTGGAAGATTTTTGACTCTCACAGGCTTTGATAGCTACAATCATTATAATTACTGGATCACCTTATGGAGTTCGAGATTAGATGATATCCAAGTGCCAATCAAATCTGACCCTACATAAACAATTGCAGTCAACTCCTATCCCATAAGCTGGTCTCAGTTTAAATTTATCTATTTAAAAAAAAAAAATATGACATAATTTCTACATATGTTGGCTGGGATTTATGTGGTGCCCTACTGAGGATAATTTTTGCAATTAAGTTGTGTTACCACTTAATGTATAACATGTATTGAGAAACCAGAAGCAGGTTTGAGTTAATATTGTCAGCAAGCTGGATTTGTGACTTCAGCCTCACAATAATTACTAGGATGAAAATAATACTAAATAAGTAAATCTTACTTATTTGTATAATTAAATCCAATTTATTTCTTATTTTTTCTGTGTTTGATTTTATCTGCGCCTAGCATTAGGCAAATAAATATTTCTATTTGGTTAAGGTTGGGAAGCAGTGAATCTGTGGGGAAAGCTAAGACTTTTGTTTTGTGTTATGCAGTGTATTGTTAACGTAGTATCACAAACAGAAGAAATTGACACAGACATTGTTGTAAAGTAAGTATAACATTAAACTGCTTTAAAAACTTTTGTATATCTGTGAATAATTTACACTTATGCATATATCTTTGCTTTTGTGCTTTTGCATCATTCTGTCAAGTGCATTATTTAATGTTGGGAATATTCTGACACTAGATAAATATGGTAATGCTGGAAATGATCTCAATAATTCCAGTTTAAATCAAATTAAGATACACATTTATTTATAACCCTAGTATATTCTGTGGCCTTTGTTCAGAAATAATGCTAAATTATAGATTAGAATTATAAAAGGAGCAACTGGATATTTTCATACAGAGTAATAAACTAAACCAACAAAGAAAAATGATAATTCTGAGTTTTAGAACATCTGACAAAAATCAAAGCAAAGTGGGCTTGGACTTGATCGGCAAATATATTGATTATAGGAAAGTGCTGTGCTTCAATTCATAAGCTAGAAAAGTACATTTGAGTGTAGGAATATATATGTCAGATCTGTTAACATCTCCTTAAGGAAGCTGCATTTTTTAGATTCTCAATTCCAGAAAAAATAGGTATTTGAGCTTAGAAAGTACTTAAGTGTTACATGATGGGCACGACCCATTTCCGAAACCAGGCCGCGGAAGAAATGGGCAAGTGTGCACACGTGAAACTCCACATGCGTGAGCAGTAGGCAAGCACACAGATGAAGCAGTGGGCACTTGCTCTCATGCACAAAGCTCCAATTGTGCAAGTGCAACCGCCACTCACTTGCACAATTGGAGCTTCATGCGTGATCGTAAGTGCCTGCCACTCACACAACTGAAGCTTTGCACGTGAGGGCAAGCACCCTCTGCTCACGCGTGAAGCTCCATGTGTGTGGAGGGTGTGCGCCCCCTGCCATTCGCACAAATGGAGCTGTGTGCATGTTTGTGGGCCTGCCACTCACATACCCCACTACCACACTAGCCTGGGCTATTAAGCTGTAGAGGTTGGCGATTGCTGCTTTAGAGCAGACGGATATGCTGTGAAGTGTGCTTTAACTCCAGTTAGATCACAGAACTATTGTATGAACCAAGAAAAAGATGCAGCTTTATTAATCATCAAAACAACATTGTAATGACTTTATTGTTTCCATTGTAAACCAGACAGCTAAATTAAAATTTAAATGATAGCATTTTGTTATTGTTTATAGACTTGCAGATCAAATGAGAATGTTAAATTTTCCGCAGTGGTTTGAACTTCTGAAAAGTATTTTTTCTAATTTCATTGTCTTTCTCAAGAGAATTAAGGTAAGGTACTGTATTTTCAATAAAGATTTTACTATATATCTTGCATAATACATAATACAAAATTTTCTAGTTCTGGTGATATAATGTAGTTTATAACAGAATACTGGGCTTTTGTCTACCGGTATTGATCAAACAAAGTTGTACAGCTGCAATTTAAGGAAGTATTTGGGGAAATTTATTGTCAGCATTAATTCTTTAAAATAATAAAATTCTAAATTCTTGAGGGGTAAATGTTCAAATATAGATGGCCATGGTTATTTGGAGGGGTTCCATTCCAGACTTGACAGCTGTGAATAATGAAACTTTGAAAATATATAGTTTACACATACACAAAACCTATTTTGTGCATGATTAAAACACGCAATATGCTGTAGAAGCTTTTTCTCAAAAAGAACCATGTACCAAAACCCACAAATACAAGAAACCCTTTCCTATGGATAACAAAATCTGGTTTATATTTGCCAAACATTGATCCATGAAACAACGGGTATTAGAACTGCAGATAATGAGAGCAACTTCTATATAGTAATCTGAAATTTTTACATTTAGGTCTGCCCGTATTTTTGCTGTTTAATGGGTAGTTATGACTGTGGTCTATGATAAGTCAACTTAATGAAATTGATTTATTTCAAGAAACAATGGTTAAATACAATTTGCTCAGGTTGAAACATAAATTTTAATCCACTGGATTAGAGGAGAAACAAGATATGTCTATGATTTTGGTGTGTAAAAGAACTGCCAATTTTAATTTAACTTGCAAATTAAAACATACCTGGAATTAGATATCTGCAGGCAGTATTTGCCTTTATGATTAACATGATATTGTTTGCAAGAAAAGTCCAAGCTTTATGAATGGAATGAACATGAGGGTTGAAATTATTCCTAATCACTTCCTGCTTTAGTACTTGGTTTCTCGTTTGTATGAATCAGCGTTTTCCATCCTGCCTGAATTAAGAAAGTCTTCCTTTAATATCAATTAATAAGCTCACATTTTAAAGTAAAAGTAATATTCTGCCCATTTCACATAAAATGGATGAAATGAAATGATAAAACAGTGGTTCTCAACCTTTTTAATGCTGCGACCCCCAACCGGTCGTAAGTCGAGGACTACTCAACTGGTGCAGCACTGTTTGCAGAATGGGATTTTTGGCGGGCTCAGCAGGGCAGAGACAGCCTCCTCTATTCAAGAGAGTCTATTCTATTGGCTTTCAAAAGCCAATAAAATAAAAGGGAGTAGCACAGCTAAGGAAAAGAGGGAAAAAATGGCGGACTGCGTTGTTTGGCGACCCCTGTGAAATGGTCGTTCGACCCCAAATGGGGTCCCGACCCACAGGTTGAGAACCACTGTGATAAAAAAGATACATATTGTTACTATCCAGTCCTAAGAACAAGCAGCAGAAAAGATAGTCCTGTTTTGCTAGGAATCTGACTTCTTAGACTAAACATTGTTGGGAATTATTATTCTAAGTCCTCTCACTTGGGGAGTTTAGTAAAAATATGTTTACAATTCTTAATGATAACAATCCCAATTTACCTCAAGCTATGATCTAGAAAGGGTGTGGTGGCCAAGCAATTAAGACACTGGACTTGTCTACCGGAGGGTCGGCATTTCAAGATCTAAATACTGCATGACGAAGTGAGCTTCCGTTACTTGCCCCAGCTTCTGCCAACCTAGCAGTTTGAAAGCACGTAAATGCAAGTACATAAATAGGTACCACTTTGGTGGGAAGGCATTCCATGCACCTTCAGCATATAGTCATGCTGGCCACATGACCAAAGAACTATGCTAGTTCTTTATCTGTAAATCGGAGATGAGCACCGCCCCCTAGAATCAGACACAACTGGCAGGGGAAACCTTTATTTTTTTTTTAATGATATTGAAACATGGTTAGAAAAGAAAAGATAGACATATGTTCCAGCATTTACACCAACATTCTGTCCGATGTTGAGTATAAAAGTTTGAAAACAGCCATCAAAAGCGTGAGAAAAAAATGTCTGTGTCATCGGAGTTGTGAGGAGGCATTTCTCTTTTTGCTCAGATTCACACAAACAGAAAATCTTCCCTGACTTCTCATTCAGGATTAGAAGATTTGAGACAGTGGAATCCAGTTGGAATTTGTCAGCCATTGGGGATGGGGCAGGAAACTACTGCTATTTGCCCAAACACTGACACTTGTTTTCAATGCAGTTCATATACATAACCACAAATGTTGCATAAAATAATTTTTGAGAAAGAATATATGTTAGATATTTGTGAATTATGAATACTTCAATGATTTTATTGTTTGGGTAGAGTTATCAAGCTAGAATATTTTGCTAAGGGGTATATTTTTCAAGAAATAACAGCATTTTAACAAGCACTATATTTTCTTTAGGGAACCCTAAATGTCATCAGAAGCGTGGTTCTCTTGGTTCTTGACAAGAACCAAAGGAACAAGGACGTGGGCAATATTTCTGTGCAGACCAATTCTGCAAAGGAGAGCTCCATAGACACAGAAGTGGCCTATCTGACTCATGAAGGCATGTTCATAAGTGATGCTTTCAGAGAAGGAGACCTTCCATCCACAGTAGCTGATTCTGTCTCCCAGAGAAACCTTTACCAAGACAGTCAGCCCAGCAGTAGTGATTCTGTGTCTGAAGCTGAATGTACCACTGATTCCTCATCTAGCAAGGAGCAGACTTCGTCCAGCGTAACCCTGGGTGGAGTTGAGATCATGTATGTAGTAAAGGTCTTTAACTTAGAACCTGATCCAAACAGCAGAAACGATTGGTTCCAGCTATACAAATGTGAATATTCATAAAAGGCCTAAAGTATTGAACTTAGAAAATATAATTTCCAAAACTCAAATGTCAGATTTGACCCTATTGTCTGGAACAAACAGCTTGCCCACTCTGTCTGTGTTTGTGCATTCAAATTCTGTGTGATTTTTGCTGCCAGCTATGTTTCTGTTGCCTTGTTGTCTGTGGATGAAAGAAGAGCAAACATTGCTTCCACATGTTTTAATGGCAACAGAAGAGTCTTATTGATATTTTTTATCCATTTGTGTGTTTTGATCTAATTTGAGAAGTTTTGCTCTGACGTATTTATTCCTTGCCCATCCTCCAGTTCCTTCTATGAGATTTCTAGTTTTCCTTTCTATTCCATCTTCATTAGTGCCTATAATATGCTACTAAAGTGATCTTTACTTAGGAATAACTACAGTATAAGTATTTACTCTAAAACAGAGAGATTATCCATCATATTATATAATAACTTCTTGCACTGAATTATTTTTGTTGTTTTTAGAGAACGATTTGGTAAACAGTTTTAGAGACAATTCTACTATATACGGTTTTTCCCTAGTGTAACAAGTTCTTATACAATTTGGTTATAGTAAAATAAATGCAAATCCAAGTTAAAAATTCCAATGAGCAGAAATTTACCATTAAATTCCTCTCTGGTTCAAAGATCTTGACCTCAAAGTGTAGTGTAGTCAGCTTTTTTTTCCCCAAACAAAACAGTAGCCACTGGATTACATCAGCTACATATTTTTGTAAACAAATTCTTCTTTTACTTTCAGGATTGGTGAGGATATAAAATTGTCAGAACTGGAACTGGGCAGATTAGCAAATAACATCCAGGAGCTACTTTACAGTGCCTCTGATATTTGCCATGATCGCTCTGTCAAGTTTCTTATGGCTAGAGCAAAAGTAAGTTTGATGCAATACCTGTTTGTGACCAGGAAGACATTTTCAATAGTTGTTTTTTCCTTCTTGCAGTTTTAACCAGATCACTTTGGGATAATTCCCCAATAGAAGTATGTAGAGATGGACTAATTGTTAGAATTGGTCAGAAGATCCAGATTGAAATCTATATTTAGAGCAGAAGCTTCATGGCTTGTTTGGAGCTTATCTGTCTTCACAATCTAATCAAATCCGGTTACTGGTTAATTAAATGCAATTAAATAATTATTATAAAGATAAATTATGGACTGGATAAATAAGGAATAAAACGAACCCTGATATCATTTCCCCTACTAGAGGGTCTCAAAAGACTGTGATACAGGTAGTCCTTGACTTACGACTACAGTTGAGCCCAAAATTTCTATTGCTAAGTGAGAAATTTGTTAAGTGAATTTTGCTCCATTTTACGGCTTTTCTTGCCAGATCTGTTAAGTGAATCACTGCAGTTGTTAAGTTAGTAACATAGTTGTAAAGTGAATCTGGCTTCCCCATTGACTGTGCTTGTCAGAAGGTCGCAAAAGGGGATCACATGACCCCGGGACACTGCGACCTTCATAAATATGAGTCAGTTGCCAAGCATCTGAATTTTGATCACATGACCATGAGGATGCTGCAATGGTCATAAGTGAAAAACGGTTTATAAGTCATTTTTTTCAGTGTCATTGTAACTTCAAACAGTCACTGAATGAACTGTTATAAGTCAAGGACTACCTATATAGGGTTGGAAACATCAAAATAAGTATAGAGTGCTGTTGCATCAGCTTTTCTTCTCCCTTTAGGATGGATTCCTGGAGAAACTGAATTCTACAGAGTTTGTTGCTCTTTCGCGATTAATGGAAACATTCATCTTGGATACAGAACATATATGTGGTAGAAAAAGTATGTCGTTGCGGGGTGCACTTCAAAGCCAAGCTAATAGATTTGTAAATAGATTCCACGAGGAAAGAAAGACGAAGCTCAGGTATTTGTATGTTTGTTACATAGACCTTGTTGCATTCTAAACAGTAAAAAATAGAGTTTTTTGAGCCCAAGAAGCATATTGAATCCATATTAAATCAATAAAATGATAGTTAATTTTAAGTCGCTTTTTAGGTTTCTGTAAATAGAGCACCACCATGGATTCCAGAAGGGATATGATAGACCAAAAATGATCAGAATTGCTTTTCTCCCTTCCACATCTTCATAATTCATTATTCCTTTCCTCTTAATTCTCTTATACACACTGACTTTCCAAGTTCTGTTTGGGCTAGAAAAAATAAATGCCATTCAAGGATCAACTCAGTTTCCAGTATGGTCCCTTTTAATTTTTGATCCTTATAGCTATGTACGCTCTCCCTTACTTTCACTCTAGCCTCTTTGCCTATATTACCCTTCTACCCTAGTCTCTTTAATCATCTCCCTCTATTTTCTTGACACTTATCTTACATGGCCAAAGACTTATAGAGAAAGTGTACAAAATATTCCAGGTTATCAATGTACTGTATATCTAAAGATTTTGAGATAAGTCAACATCTTAGCCTCAGATGCCTTGAGAAAACTGATAAATGGGAGGACAAAGCCTGCAGTGGCTGAGCTGCAGTGGTAGAAAAGGTTTGACTTGGGCCAACAAAGGAATAAATGACTTCCATTCCTCAACAGCTCATCTCTGGGTGACTGTTTCATATGAAGTTCTCATGAGTATTTATCCAGACTTTGGCTTCAAAGTCAATAGAGAGGCAATAAATCAAAAGAAAAATATAAAAACAGTGAACTCATTTTCAAAATGGTATATTCATTTTTTTTACACACCATGGGGTCAGAAATAATACTTAATGTTATAAACACCAAATGGGATTTTTTAAAAATTTAAGATAAAAATCTACAGAAATTGATGCTGCAGCTTGCCACTTAGAAAATTCCTACTGTTGAATTTCAAGGGAACATGAATGCAAGAGATAAGAAATAGTTTTTTTCCCCCTTAAACCCCATTTTCTTTTTGTATGTAAATAGTCTTCTGCTAGATAATGAACGTTGGAAGCAAGCTGATGTTCCTGCAGAGTTTCAGGATCTTGTTGATTCTATATCATATGGCAAAATTGCTTTACCAGAGAAAAAAGCAGGAGGTGAGTCTTCTCTCAGTAGACTCTAGATTATTCTAATGTTGCATGTGAATGTACTTTGGCAAACCTTTGACAGGCATAACTATTATGAATTATAACCAAACTCTTCAGTTTCCGAAGAGAAAGACCAATTTGATAAGGATAATACTAATCTCTGGAACTCAGTAAAGCATAGAAGTAAACAGCTGTTTTAATGAGTCACAGATAGGAGTTAAATTTGCACATCTACTGGTTCTGAAACGCCTCTTCTGAACTGAATCTAAAGTAATGCACACTTACTGAGTTTTGAAATTAAAGGTAAATCTGAAGTGTCTTCATGTAACCTGCAAGCTATACTCTTTGGATATGGCTTCCTTCTAATCCAGAGTGAGAAAGGTTAAAAAAAAATTAAATGTAATTGTTTATATTTCCTTAGATGAGTAAAATAAGTCATTTTGTATTTAACGCAGGAGATTCTGCCAAAAAGGTGCATTTTCTTAGAATAGCCAAGTTACCTACATAATAATTCCAGAGCATCAATAAATAGATCATTCATTTCAGTTATTTGTAAAGTATAGCTACCCTTCGCTGTTGCTGATATAAAGCATGGGGCTAACAATAAGTCCATTATCAAGATTTGTGAAGGTAATGACACTGGGAGAATGCCATGAGACTCTGCCTTTCTGTGAGAGTATCCCTCAAGCAACACTTTATTTTTCCCCCAAAATAAATTGGATGCATTTTGGAATTTGAAAAGTGCTTTTTGAGCAAACAGCAGTTCCAGCCTCCTTTCAGTTATTGAAGATGTGGGCCATTTATATTTCTCTGATAGAATAATGGGGTCATTTTTGAATCTCAAAGCTTAAGCACCAATTAGGGGTTTTATTTCTTGATAATAAAACCCCTAATTATTATTTTCTTGGAATACTGCATCCAGTTTTAGTCACCACGATGTAAAAAAGATGTTGAGACTCTAGAAAGAGTACAGAGAAGAGCAACAAAGATGATTAGGGGACTGGAGGCTAAAACATATTAGGAACGGTTGCTGGAATTGGGTATGTCTAGTTTAACGAAGAGAAGGACGAGGGGGGACACGATAGCAGTGTTCCAATATCTCAGGGGCTGCCACAAAGAAGAGGGAGTCAAGCTATTTTCCAAAGCGCCTGAAGGCAGGACAAGAAGCAACTGATGGAAACTAACCAAAGAGAGAAGCAACCTAGAACTAAGGAGAAACTTCCTGACAGTTAGAACAATTAACCAGTGGAACAACCTGCCTCCAGAAGCGGTGAATGCTCCAACACTGGAGGTTTTTAAGAAGAAACTGGACAGCCATTTGTCCGAAATGGTATAGGGTTTCCTGCCTGAGCAGTGGGTTGGACTAGATGACCTCCAAGGTCCCTTCCAACTTTATCATTATTATTATTACCTGAAGGATTCTAGAAAATTCAGTTAAATTAGATAACTGAAACCATAGTCACTTTTCTTTTAAAACTGATTAATATTTCAATATTCAGATACATGAAGGACCATCTGTTACTTTCATCTGCACAGTCATTCTCACAGTTTTGTTTCTCTTCACTGCAAATCTTAGTAGATAAGATAATAACTATGGGCTCAAAGGTTCTAGACAAAATCTGCTTTTTATGAAGCAGGTGTCTTATAATTTACAGTGTAGAATCCAGGAATGACTTATATGATAAAAGCAAATGAAAACTAAGTGATAGTATTTACTAAGAAAAGTTGGAACTAGGATGGTTTTAAGGCCAAAATATTTTTTATGTATCTCTTATAAATTACTATTCTGCAAAGCATTTGTGTCTGTCAGGCTTGAGCAGTCAGTTGCATGCTGTGCTGGAACAATCTTTTTTTCTCTGACAATCCACTTGATTTGTGTACTGACTGGAGAGGAAACCTGGTATGTTTCATTCCTCTCTAGAGATCTCTTCACTCATTGGCCTAGAATTCCAAATAGTTTCCTGGATTTCTTTGCTGCCTGTGGCATACAGGTAGATGATAGTTAGGATCTCCCTGGAGATCCTAACTCCCAGGTTGCTTTCTAATTCCCCAAATTAATCCACTAGGACAGGGGTAAGGCAACCTTGGCTCTTTTATGACTCTGGACTTCAATTCCCAGAATTCCTGAGCCAGCATGGCTGAGCATGGAAACTCTCCCTTTCCCCTCAGCATGGCTGGCTCAGGAATTCTGGGAGTTGAAGTCCATGAGTCATAAAAGAGCCAAGGTTGCCTACCCCTGCACTAGGGGGATGAACAATATCAGGTGTTGGACCCTACTCACATTTTGACACCATGTGGGTTCTGAGGAGTATTCATTTCAGGAAATTGGGAGTTCCTTGCTTCCATTTCCCTTATCCACTGAGCATATACTTTCCACGACAAGGGAAAAGTGAAATCTAAGATATGCTGCTTCAAGATGCTGCAAACCAAGGGTCCCCGGCCTCCGGGGGCCGCTGCTGTAAACGCTATAATGTAGTAGCATGCTTTGTGTCTCTTATTGCATAAATAAAGAAGAGTAGTCATGCCTGTGGAGTTAGGAAGTTATTGAGTAGTGCTTAAATAGACCAGAATGTATTATAGGTAGTCTTTAACTTACAACTGTTCAGCAATTGTTCGAAATTAACAATGGTGCTGAATAAAGGGACTTATGACCTTGTCTGAAGTTCTGACCACCCCATAGATCCTCTTCCTCCCCTCCCCATTCCAAAGAGGCCAGCAACAGTGAGAACTGGCAGAGTGGGTCAGTGAGAGAAGTGGTCACATGGGTGTGTCGTTTAATGACCACGCCGACTTATGACCAAAATTCCAGGCTCAGTTGTGGTCATAAGTTGAGAACTATAGTTTAATGAGGTTGATTTAACATTTAGAGCATTCTATGTTTCACCATTAATTATTTTTTTTCTTTTTGTTTATAGCACCTGAGGAAAGAAAGCCAGCTGATTTTCTTATTGTTGATGGACAAAAATATGCTGTAGTTGGGTAAAATAAACTTTCCCTTTCCTTCATAACATTATTTTGAATAATAATTTTGGTTTAAAATATCTAGATACGATATATTTTAATATAAATAATATAAAAATATTTTAAAAATTAATAGGTTTAGCATTGATTCAGATAGTTTGCCCTAGGTACCTGATCAGTGCAGCTGATTTCCAAAAGATGTTGAAAAATGTCATAGCTCTCTGATGGGTGATTCTGTTCAGTGGCTGGTAAGCATCTACTAACCGGAGGCAAGCTGAGCCCTGGAAGTTATTGCCCTTGAATGGCCTCTTTGATCCTTTCTGGCATCTTTGTTTACTGAGACCCCTTGGGAGATGTAATGCAACAATGCCTAGATGCTGGTGGAGAAAATCTAGAAGTATGGGTAGGTACTATGTTCAGGCCTACACTGTTGACAGTAAGAGAGGCAAAGCATTCTCCTATTTTACTGCTTGGATGGCTGTCATCCAATGGCATTGTTCAGGACGGTGAATTCTATTCTATTTTGTAACCACCTCTTGGGCCACTGTCATTGATTTATGCAGCATTATGCAGTAATGGATTTGCTCTAGCCTTGGCTGCTATTGGACAGTGTCTTTGGTGGTAACTGGTACACAGGACTTCTTTTGATGTGTGTCCTTCAAAGAAATAGATAGGGTGCTGTCTCAGTTATCTTCTGCTACTTGTTATCTTCAGTAACAATTCTGTCACCGTCTCTGTTTTCTTCTGATTGGAAATGTATATCTTCTGACTTATATAATTTGACGGAAGACATTTAAAATAGCTTCTGAGGTAAATGTCATCTTTCTGTTACATAAATACGAGAGGAGGTAAATCTTTAAATAAATGTTTGCTTTATACCTGTGAGTATTAAAATGAATATTTTATTTTTTCTAAATCATTTTTAACATATTTGGTAATTGATATACACAATTAGCAAGCTTCACAGTATGATTCAACATGTATTTTAGTGATTATAACAGTGTGGTTTATTGAATCTGCCTTCCTCTATAAATATATATTTGGCTCTTCTGAAGCAGAAAATCATAACTTTCTATGTTATTAAAATAATTAGTATTTCCAAAGATCATTTCTCCATCAATGATGAATGAATTGCAGTTAGAGTGCAGTACTGCAGGCCACTTTAGCTGACTGTGTTCAGCAGGTCAGCGGTTCAAATCTCACCGGCTCAAGGTTGACTCAGCCTCCCATCCTTCCGGGGTAGGTAAAATGAGGACCCAGATTGTTGGGGGCAATGTAAATATATATATACATTGCTTACTGGTGTACACCGCTGAGAGAGTGCTTGCACTTAAAAGCGGTATATAAGTCTCATAAATAAATAAATAAATAAAATTTGTTTACTTACTCAGTCAATCTGTGCTTTTTAATTTTTTTCCAATAGTGAAATATAAAAAAATTGCAACACCAATTCCAACATCCTCCATTGAGATGGAGGATAAATACCGACTATATAGTTTTTAAAAGGCCCTAGATATACAATGAGGATTAAAATAAATTAAATATGATAAAAAACAGACTAATTAGCAGAAAAAGTATCCACAATACATTCATTGGTAGTGATGTAAAATCCTTTAAGGATTCTCTATAATGGAAAAGTAAATTTGAAACTGGCAAAACATTCCTTCTGGCAGCATTAAAGCAGGTGCATTAAAGCGAAGACTGTCTTCGAAGCAGTTGTGTAGTCCCCAGTCTGTGGACCAGTACCGGGCCATGGCATGCCAGCAACCAGGCTGAATAAACAAGCAAAGCCCCATCCGCAGGATGCAGGCAGCACACAAAACCACATACCCTTCGGTCTGTGGAAAAACCTCTCTCCATGGAACTGGTCCCTGGTGCCCAAAAGGTTGGGGACCTTGGTGTAAGCCTCCCAAAGGCTGCAGTTGCTTTAATACTTTCAGTACTTTGTCTGTGGTAACATTCTTTGCAAAGTGCTGTTTTTGTCAACTAATTCTTTCACTGACAAAACTGTTAATGTTCATATGATTCCAGTATGTACTATGACTTGTAGTGACATTTTCAATTCTTTACCTTGCAGGACAGTGTTGCTATTAATTAGAATCATCCTTGAATACTGCCAGTGTGTGGATAATATTCCCTCCATAGTGACTGATATGCTCACTCGCTTGTCTGATTTACTGAAGGTACAACTGTTTCCAGTCTGTTTTCAATGCATGAAATGTACTTGCAGGTGTTTTTTTAACATTGCTTTCACACAACTGTTTGATGAATCTAAATGGTAAGATTAAAAACACTGCAAGAAACAGTATTTCATAGTGTAATAGCAGAACTGTTACCCTCGGTAGCAGAAAGTCAGAATGAGTCTGGTAGCATCTTTTTCTGACTAATAAATTTTATTGAAAGGCATAAACTTTAATGTGCTGTAGTTTATACTTTTTAATAAAAAAAAGTACTACCGGCCATTTGATGAAGTGAACTGCCAGTTCATGAAAGTTTATGCCTATGAAAGAGGTGTTATCATGTAATTCTTAAATAATTGTTTGTTCCTCTCTCTTTCTCATACAGTATTTCAACTCAAGAAGTTGTCAGTTAGTACTTGGAGCAGGTGCTTTACAAGTGGTTGGCTTGAAAACAATAACTACAAAGAATTTAGGTATGGGTGTGATTTTAAAACATTCTGTGGTTCTGTAAATTCTCCTTAGGCTTTTTTGTTTATTTGTTTCAAGAAAAATTTAAATTTAAATTTTGACTTACTATAATGTTTTTTTATGAATTTATTTCTGGCAAATTGCTTGCCAGAAGTATTTGAATGTTAGAATTTGGCCTTAGAAAAGTAATTGTCACATTCAGTGCATAAAATGTGGTTGCTTCTGTCTAAATCTTTTCCTTCAATGCTGTTCTCTAATTGAAAGGATACTCTTTAATGCAGACAGTGGACATAGTCCTACAGGTTGCCCTTACTTAGCAATGATAATTGAGACCAGAATTTCTATCTCTAAATGGTCATAAAGTGAGAACTGATGTGACTATGCTGCTTAGTGACAGCGATTCTGGCAAACACCTGGTTAATGTCATTAAATGTTGAGTCAGAACATCAGATGACCATGATTTTCGACTTTCCCATTGACTTTGCTTGTGGGGAGCCAGCAGGGAAGCTTGCAAATCGCAATCCCATGACTGCAGGATACTTTGATGGTTGAAAATCCAGGTCAGCTGCTGAGTGCTTGGATCATGATCATATGACCACAGGGGTACCATGAGGGCCAGAACTTTGAGGATTGCTTGAAGTTCTACTTCTTCAGCGCTGTGGTTAACTTTGAACAGTTGCTGAATGAGTGGCTGTTAACCAAGACCACTGGTAACAGCTGGCATTGAAAAAAGCCCCTTAACCTAAAATGAAACTTTTCTGTTGTGATTTTCCTTTCGTCTCTTCAATTTTTAGCTCTTTCCTCCCGCTGCCTACAGCTTATAGTATACTACATTCCTGTGATCAGGGCTCACTTTGAAGCTCGCCTGCAGCCCAAACAGTTCAGCATGCTTAGGCATTTTGACCATATTACCAAGGTATTTTTCCAATTACTTTCTGACTTAAATGCTCTAAAAACCAACAAAAAAGGAGCATTTGGCTCCTCAAAGTACGTTATATGTGCTTCCTAAAGAAAAATAGACAGTGGGTATCAATGCTTCCAGGTCAGAGATGTTATTTTGAGCCCCTAGACCTTATAGCTTGTTACATCCTGTTATAAGTGAGATAATATACTGTCCTCCTTGGATGGATTTCTACATCCATTCAAGGATGTAATAAACAAACAGGCTTGTTCACTTTCATTCAGATTTCTTGGGAAGTGATGTTACAATCTTCCGTCAAAAGGAGAGTGCTTGGAAGAGAGCAACTATTTAAGCTCATTTGTTTAAAATGTGGAAAAGAAACAGGCAAATATTTGAGGAAACAACCATTTCCTATACCTTCTATAACTACCGTTTAAGTGAATAAAAAACTGGTGTAAATAATCAAGAGGGGGCACAATGAAGTCGTCTTTAGTTTTACTTTGTGTTTTATAGATACTTATCACAAGGACAAAGTCTGACATAATATGAATAATAGTCATGTTTCTGTTCCAGGATTACCATGACCACATAGCAGAAATTTCCACTAAACTTGTAGCCATAATGGATACTTTGTTTGACAAATTGCTTTCCAAGGTAATAATCTGAGGGTGGAATGTTACTGTTTAATTTCTATTAAGTTCCTCATTTTGTATGGAACTTAAACTGATGCTTGAGTTGTATTTTTCCTCCTCTTTTCCTTTAACATTCTCAGTGATTTGTGCCAGGAGATACTATTTTAAAAATTATCTTAATACTATCTTAAAAATTCATTATCCTTGTACTATTGCTTTATGCCAGTAAGATTGTTCATCTACCTATAGACATAACCTATATATTTCCGACCTAAAACAGAAAAGGTAAACCAGTTCTTTTAATATCTGAAATAATGGCAGCCACAATACCAGCTTCCTGGAGCATCGCTCACAGGCTATTCTGACTGCAGTGTCCTCAAAGAAACATGTAGGATGCTAGTGTACTGATGCCATCCCTTAGGATTATTATCTGTGCTTTTGTCCCTCATAGGGTAATGGCACAGCCAGTCTAACTCATAGTAAGAGTTCATGTGGCCCAAGCTGCAGAGAACAGGCATGTAGCACTGTTTTTGCATAGGAGGCCTACACAAAGGAAAACAGATTCACGGAGTGGGGTGAATGGAGAGATTACTGCAATGACTCTATTCCCAACTTTTCCTCTCATAAATAAGTTGCTAGTCAAAATCCAGAAGACAAATTCAATGACCCGTACCATTTGTATTTTCAGTATGAAGTGAAAGCACCGGTACCTTCTATGTGCTTCAGGAATATTTGTAAACAGATGGCAAAGATGCATGAAGCAATATATGACCTGCTTCCTGAGGAGCAAACACAGGTGAGCCCTTTGGGATGGTCGATCAATTGCTGCTGAGGAACTGTCATAAATGTTCTTCCAAATGTTTAAGATATATAAAATAGGGTCATAGTATATAATATTAATGGCATTTTAAATCCTCTGTTTGACTGTTGGATGATACATAATCCATATCATAATAAAACAGGAAATCAAAAGGAGAAGTGCTTTGTATAATCTGAAACATCACTGCAAGAAAATCTTCAGTTATGAAACTATATCATAGGAAGAAAAAAAGGGGGTTGATCTCTTTTCTCTGCTTTTTCCAAATATAGTCTGTTGTTTTTTTTCCTTATCTAATCTTAACTCCTTATTTAAAAACATCTATTTTATTACTCTATGCATGTGGGTCGATGATTCATTCATATCATAAAATAAGTAAATTGATCATTAGTTTTAACTAAGCTGATACATTATAACTCGTGTGAATATTGTCAAAACGTTTCTTCTGGTAGCGCATAAAGTATTTAAACCTCATGCTGCTATATCTGATCTTTGGCGAACTTGTTTGTCTAATCTGAAAGAGTAGATTACTCGAAATTGAGGAGATACAATGCTTCAGTTTTGATTCCAGAAAGATGAGATTCTGAGCAAGCAGAAACATAAACATAGGACTGCTGTTCTTTAAAGCAATCACATCTTTTTTTCTAGATCTATAGATGGCAGCTATACTGCACAATACTAAAAAAATAATGCAGTTCCGTTTATCTCTTTGTAAGAACAAAAAATAAGCATCTTGTGCTACTATTAATATTAAGCTTTCTGGATCACCTTTTATTTCATCATATGTGTCTGATCTTGAGTAAGGAACAGTTAGGATATACAATTGTTGAGAGGACAAGAAAAAGGGGAGGAAAAGCTGGTGAGCGGAAAGTCAGAATTATAAAATTACTATAGAGATAAGAGATGGATGTATTTAGATCTTAATCATAAAAAACTACCTCCTGAGAATATTATTTCACCTCAAAATAGTAATCCTGACAGCCAAGCTGAAATTCAGCTAAAGGTTCACATTTTTCCGGATTAAATATAGATAATATAAGCAAAAGATTTTTATCAAATTATATGTTTTAATCACTTGTTCGGCATCAGAATATTTGCACCACATCTGATCCACTCTGCAATCTGAATGCTCATATTTCCTACCCTATTTCCCTCCCCTTTCCTAACAGCATAAATCTGTTTCTTTCTCATATTGTTTCTATTGCAGTAGACTACTATGGTTTTTCTTCTAGAAACAAGAAAGTTTGCTGTTTAAACTGCAAATTTATGTAGTGACTCTTAGTTTTTGTGCTAGTTATGGCTTCAGGAGAATAATTTCTTACTCTAACTTTTGTATTATCTTTTAGATGTTATTTTTAAGAATTAATGCAAGTTACAAATTTCACTTAAAGAGACAGTTGGCCCACTTAAATGTAATCAATGATGGAGGACCTCAGAACGGGTATGTTACAATGAGATTATTTCTTAGTTTGGGAGCCCATGTTTTGTTGCAGCATAAAAAGTTAATATATTATATATTGTATTTCTCCTCTCTTCCCCTCCACTTTCGCACTAGATTTAATTTACTTAACAACAGACCATCTGCCCCAGTGAGACACCATTTGCAAAATTGTGTCCAACTTTGGTTCAGTAGTTCAAGACATTCAGTGTTCAAGAAGTTCATTGTTCAAGAAGAACAGTGAGAATTGTTACTTCTTAAAATTAAAAAACAATTTATGACAAGTAGTTGGAATACTGTATAGGGAGAAAGGGAAATCCAAGAACTCATCAGCCCTGCTGTGTGCCATTTCTCAGTCTATTGCAGCCTGGCATTTTTAAACACAGCGATGCTATCTGGAGTAACCTATTTATTCTTTGTAATAAATAAAAGTCTGTATTCTTTGGACTAGAATTTGGGGCCTTACTAATACTTTCAGCTGTATCTCCCATATTCCACTGTTGTGCAGTCTGAAGATGCTGGAAATTGGAAGCATCCATCATTATGGCAGGGATTTTTTATATTGTGCTTGATGGGGTTTTGTGAGAGACTGGTTTGTGGTGGGGAATTAACTCATGCAAACCCAATTTTCTATCAATAGAGATTTCTCTTTTGATTAAGAGTTCCAAGATTAATATTTTTAAGTAACAGGTTTCATATCTATGTTCATTTTCAACACAGATTATATATTATACTTATATTTTACTGGTATTATTTCTTTCATAGATGCAATTAATAAAACATGGATTTAGGGAGATTTCCTCTGTATTTCAGTATGGTTATAAATAATTTTGTTGTTAAATATTTCCAAAAATTTTATACATTTGAATGCACAAACTTTTTTTAAAAAACTAAAATACATTTGGGGGGGGGGAATTGAAACCACATGTGTAAATGTATAAGTTGAGGTTGGGAGGATTGCAGTAGTTGATAAAAAGTACTTGATTTGTTTAGAAAAATTAACCAATAGGATGGACTCACAATTCTTAATATTTTCCTTTGCCTTAAAAACTTTCTGCTAAGAACATGTCCAACAGAAGGTGATACTGTCTGTTTAATAAGTGCTTTATATTCTAATAGTTTCCAGCATAAACCACAAGATATTACGCCTAGAACAAATGGATTAACTCTCAGCGTATATTTTAAATTGCTTCAGCGTCTACATGGTTTGAAAATGTATTTCCTGAATGTTTTATTTCTGTTCTGCATAGATTGGTTACAGCTGATGTAGCTTTTTACACTGGAAACCTCCAAGCACTGAAAGGGCTTCAGACTCTAGATTTAAACATGGCTGAAATCTGGGAACAGAAGAGGTGACTAACAACTTGCCACTTCACAGTGAATGATTTCTTGCAAACTGAAGAAGAAACTCTCTTGAAATGTGTTAGAACGTTAGCAGTAGCAATGATTTGAGGAGAATCCATTTCGCAAGAAAAGCAACAGCAGTTCTTTGCGCAGTTTCTTCATTCTCTCTGGAACCAGACTCAGGTTTCTTTGGACCAAATCCAAAATAATTCATAGCTGTAACACAGCTGTTGTCTAGAGAGTACTCTGTAAGTCTTTATATTAAAAAGATGCTTTGCATTTCCTCTAGTGCAATGAAATTCATGTGGTGTCTCACCTTATTTAATGATGGTACAGTTTGAAAAGTCTTGCTGTTGAAATCTTGAAAATGTTTTCACTATAAAAGTATACTGTTAAAATTATTTTTTTACAGATGTTTCTATAAATTCTTGATTACCTACATAACTTTGGATTTGTTAAGGTGCATTCACGTTCCAAAGTATTTTTTTCAATTGAATTACGTGCTGTCATCAGGAAACAATATTTGAAATATTTCCTGTATCTTAAAATGAAGTTGTAAAGCTTGCTCAGTTCTTATAAGGGCAAACTGGAAAGGCAGTTCAAGCGTATCTGTTGTTTATTTAAGGAGAGTGATTACAACAATGTAAATTGGCCCCTATTTCCATGTAACATTTACCTCCAAGTCTTTCCCACCCACACCAATTAAAATATTTCAAAGGTGCATAGAAATAAATATGCCCATAAAAGCAACAGTGTAAAGGGTATTAATTTATAACACTTTTTAATGCTTTCAGGCTGGTACCTGCCTGTTATAAAGTAATAAAGTGCCTGTGTATTTCACCTCACAGCATTTTTATCTAAATCCAGTGAGTGCCTACTCTTGTGATGATTATGTACAACGATAGTCCACCATGTTTTGTGTGCCTATGGCTTTTTTCAAACAGGCATGCCTCTCTGTTAACATTAGCAGAAATCACTGTCAATCAAAATAAAACTGTTAAAATGAACTGTTTAACTTATTTCCTAACATTATTACCAACAAAAACGGATATCCAGACTGGGAACTTGATATTCTTTATTTCAGTACTTGTACAGATGTGGAATTCATTTCCTCCTTTGTCTCAACACATTGTATTCTGTTAACATGAGTATAATGAAGAAGGCAATCTGTTCCATATTTAAAAGTAAACTAATGATTTAAGTAGTAATATAGATGTGGGATGAGAAATGATTATTCAAATGTTTCAGGTACCTTTTCTTTGGGTAAACACAGGAGAAAACAGTCCAAGTGAGGTACTGAACCATTCTGCGAAAGGGGTGAATAGGTTGTTGTGAATAGCACAGAAAGGCAAATTATATTCTAGATATACCTGCTATAGTAGCAAAAAGTACTTCATAATGTAGTTGTATTTAATAGTTAACAGCATATTGTTTCACAGCTTTTTCTGTTATAAGCAGTTCAAAAATTATTGAATGTCAGCCATATTGCACTTTAGATCATATTAACTGAATTACTGAGTTATTTAAGTATTTGCCTTTCTTAGTTTTCTCAGTTAAAAGAAATTACAGAAGTAATACTATAAAAACAGTAGAGTGATTGATTGTATACAAATCTTAATGCCTATACATTCTTCCATTTTTGAAACTCTTTATATTATATGAAGTTCATAGCAGTTCAGTGATCTAGAATCCGAAGATTGCCGGAGACTATTTTGTTCTCCAGAACCGCTCCAGGGGGGATGTCAATCCTGTCACCATGGTTTGCAATGATTATGACAGTTCCCTATATATACAGAAAATAAGAAAGTTCCAGTGAGCTGCCTGAAGATAAAATTCTAAATTTAAGTTTACATTTCATCAATTCTGAAGCAATCACATTTCATAAAGTACTGATACTGAACTCCTTACATTTATCCTATAATATCTTACAAAATACATACTGTTTCATTACAGAAATTCCAACCGTATGCATTAATGTCCTGTTTCACAGAACTATCAGTTATATTTCAGAAATATGTATTTAATTGCAGTATCAAGATGTTCTCTAAAATTAGCAGAATTCAATCAGATTAGCTTTGAACACATATCTGAATACAAGATTGTGGTTCACTAAAAAGTCAATAATTTTTATAGCAGAAAAGATTTTATGACACCCCCCTACACACACACTAAACTGCAGAAGCAAATATTCTTGGTTGTTAATTGCCAACCAGTTTTTCCTTGGGGCTCTGTGCTTGAGGGATGGACTTATACATCTTCAAAAGATCAACCGCCTGCTCTGAAGCAGCTTACTGCGGGCATATCTGATGAGAACCACCAATGCAGAACTTTATAGGTTTTAATCGTGTGGGTTTTTTTCTTATTACATCTTCCTCATATTTTCTGAATTGTTTCTTTCTGAACCCCCACTAAAATATCTCTGACTGGGATTTATTACTTTTTTCTACATCTGAGAGGACTGTTTATATAACTAATTCTGTACACTGCTTTTTGTGTTCCTCTTTTTTAAATTGCTCAATGGTTCACAGTTTTTCTTTCAGTAAAATTCAAAACTCCATCAGTTTATTTACAACAGCTAATTTGAAAAAGGACACTCCACGTAGCAAGTGGCTTTTTATCCTTTCTTCAAAAGGCAAAGAGAACGCTGCTTTAATTTAAAACTATAAGCAATGCCATTATACTATCACAGACACTGGTAAATCTTAACAGAGCCATGGGAGTACTAGTCCCTTACCTCTTAACTAAGAAACTAAAGTCGTATGTTTTGTAAGAGGCTATAAAAAGGGGTCTATGACAATTCGTCACGGCCAACTCGCTGCAGGACAAGAGTTACACTTAATATCAAAGAAATAATGGAATAGAAACATTAAAGGATGCAAAAGGAGGAACAGAATGAAATGCGAATTTTAAAAAATTATGTATTTTAAATAATTAAGTAGAATTGTTAAATTGTCCTGCAACGAGTTGTCCCACAGCAAGTTGGCCATGACGAGTTGTCCTGCAGTGAGTTGACCGTGGTGAATTGGTCACAGCAAGTTTGCTGTGGTGAGTTTGCCATGGCGAGTTGGCCGCAGTGAGTTGGCCATATAAAAAATTCCATTAGATCCCAAAAGGCACATACTTGAACAAGAACCTGGGATATATGCTACATTATTCAGGGAAGCAACACGCTCCTATTTCTCAGGCTGTTCTGGATGCTCAGAAAGGTTTAGCAACAAGTTCTACGTGGCATGGGGCCAGGTTGTTTGAGAGAGCACCTCTTCTCAGCTATATACACTATCAGAGGTGGCAGGAGAGGCATGTTATGAGTCCATTTACAAAGGAATGTCATCTGAAGGACACGGGAGGAGAGCCTTTTCTGCCATAGTATCCATTTTCATTACTCCTGGGGTTAGACTGGCCCTGATGGTGCTGGCCTTTCAGAAGGCTTTGTCATCATGCCTGGAGATCCGGTATTGGGGATCAGATAACTGGGGATCCAGTTGCATTGTTAATCGTTGTATGGATTGCACTCCCACAAATCAAGTTTTAACTTCTTTGTTTTTAATGGTTTTCATGTTGGTTGTTTATAAGTATGTGAGCTACCCAGATTCACCTATGTGAAGTGAGTTGCTATATACATTGAATAAATAAATAAACAAGACTCTTTTTCTCTAGAGCAGTCCAGTATGTACCAGCTACTTTGAAACTTTCTGAAGGCACAATTCCTCTATTAAGCACAGTTAAATCTAAGTGTCAATTACAAGCAACTGGTGCAAGTAGAAACTAGCTTCCTAAGAAAGCTACTTTAGGTATCGAAGTATGTGCCTAATGCTGCTCTCTTTAGATGCAGAATTCACAAAAATCAAAATAGGTTTGGCTACGTGCTCTAAAATATCCTATCAGTTAATTATTACTCTTTTTGGAAAATTACATAAATCTCAATCAAATGAGATGCTGATGCACTTGGAACAGTTCATATAGAAAAAAAACTCTTGATACGGAATTTAAGAAAGGATTATACCAAGAGATCTTTTAGAGCTCAACTGGAGTAGAGCTAATTCCATTTAAAGTCACCATTGTATTTGGCCCAATTTACAAATAATAAATTTTTGGAAGCCCTATACACTATTTCATTTAAGATCTTACCATCAATGGTGGAGGGTAAGAACTCCAAAATTCCCTGTGTTAAAAAGCTTTATCCCTGAAAAGATGGGAACACAATCACAGGATCGTAAGCTGCTAAATTGTAATTTTTACCAAGACACCCACAATGAGTTATTAACACTTTTTCTCAGTCCATTTCTAGGTCTACAGAAGAATTCTATGTACAGCTTCTTTTGGCTGTTTGCTGTTAGAACAGTTTTATTTAGCCTGTAGTATGTGTGCATTGTTGACAGCAAGGTAGAGAAGGCTACAGGCATTTTTATCATATGTGCAATACTGTAATTTGTATTATATGCTGTATTTTTAATCAAGTCTTACCTATAGTAAGGTTTAAAAGAGTTTTAAAACTATTCTAGTGCAATTATATACAGTAGCTAATCTTATTAATTTGGAAATACTTGCCTTTGGGTTATTATTTTGTTTGCTTCAACCAGATACATGCTACTCAACTTGTCTGCACTAGTTTGATCTGATTCTATTTTTACATTCTTCAACTCCTTTAAAAATTTTCTCTTAACTACAACAATAAGGAATGTTTATTTTAAGGAAATGTTTAGTTATAATGATATGAATGTAATGAATGGAATTCAGCTTAATATGTGAATCCATTTAATATCTGTATAGTTTGATATGTTTAAAATCTTTGTTTATGTTCATTTCCTTCATAATGTATTATTTGTCTATATATCTGTTATTAAGTATATTGGTTTTTTTTATGATTTCTTACTTTTAATGTTATAATTAACATTTCAAAATCTATAATAGAGAACAATTCAAACTGGGAGAAGCCCAACCTCATTCCTCTGCTGCATACAATAGAAGATAATTGTTCTTAATTAATTCAACGGGATTTGGAAACAAAATGTTATTCTGTCAATGTTATTCTGACATTAATGACAGATAAGATAACTTAACAACCCAAGTAGATGATCAAGATAAAGAAATTAAAGAACTGCAAAGAAGACATCTGCAACTGTGTTTAGAAGTCTTCAGGCACCTAAACAAATTGGATGCTAAATTAGAACAAGCAGGAATAGATTTACATAAAAACAGGATATTGCAAGAATGCACTGATGCCTTCTAAAGACATTGGCAGATTTTGTCAAATAGTGTTGCTTGAGAATGCAGCATTTCAAGTACATAAAAATTTGGGATTGTTTTAAAATGTTAATCATATGACCAACCTTTAATGCAACATGTTTCCCAAAAGTGACATCGCCTGAAACAGTTAGATGATCCAGTTCAAGCATATCTGGGATACTTTCAAACCTCCTCAGAAAATCTTGAACCTTAAAAAAAAATGAGAATGTAAAGCATCGGTTCAATGTTTATGAAACTCACAATATGTATTCAAAGAATTGTACTGCAAACCATAGTGCAAAGTTCTTAATTCGGAAAACTGCTATATCTGTAACTTTAGGTTGAAATTTTAGTATTTCATATGGCTCTCTTTAATTGCCCAACTTGTTCTGATCCACATCTGGTTACATAATGATGACATTTAATTAAGTTATTTTATCTATCTTAACTGACTTTTTTTGTATCCCATCTTTTATTGTTTTTATAAATAATTCAAATATAACCAACACACCTTCCTGTTCCTATTTCCCAATAGCAACAGTTCTGTGAGGTGGCTTGGGCTGAGAGAAAGTAACTGGCCCAAAGTCACCCACTCGGCTTTCATGGCTAAGGCAGAATTTGCCATCTCCCAGTTTCAAGCCTGATGCCTTAATCACTAGACCAAGTTGGCTTTTCTCTGAATCAGAAGTGAATGAGTGATTTAAGGAAGGCAAAATTATAATGAATAGGTAAAGGGGAAAGGGAATACTCTCTTTAGACCATCTATCTTTAA